CGTTTCCAAGCATGTTATAACAGTTTCAGTTGACATATTAGAGCAAGGAATCACGAACGGGAAACGAGAGTATTCATCGATTACTGTGAGAAAGTATTAATTCTTTGATGAAGATGGCAGAGGTCCTTTAAAGTCTATGCTAAATCGTTTCATGGGACGTGTTGCCTTTATAAGCTTATTGTTCTGACGCTGATAGAAATTGGGTTTCAGCTCAGCACAAATCCGACAGTTGAGACATACATCTCGCACATCTTGCGTTGCAGGTTCTTGGCTTTCACAATATGAAGAAGACGAGTGATACCCAGATGACATAGCCGAGAGTGGATTTCATCTAGACTTATCGAAGCTGCAGCAGAGTGAGCGCGAGTGAAGGAATCTGGAACGATATGTATTTAATAGTATAACTAAATTCCGCAAGTTCCATGCGCCAGGATTGTATTTTGCTGTTCTTAATCTTTGGTCGTTTCCTATTGTCAAACATGAAGGATACAGACCGATGGTCTGTTATTAAGAAGAATGGCTGACGAGATAGGAAATGGCTCCATTTCCCAACCGCTTCAATGATGGATAGAGCTTCCTTCTCTACTGCAGGGTAACGACGCTCAGCACTGGATAATGTTTTGGACATGAGTGCGACAGGTCTCCCATTCTGGTTCAAAGAAGCAGAAATTACAACATCAGATGCATCACATTCAACAACAAATGGTATATCCTCATCAATTGGAGACAAAGCAACATGAGAAAGTTCGTCCTTCAAGGCATTGAACGATGCAAGAGCGTTTCTGTCAAATGGGAAAGATACCGTGTCTGCTAATGGACGAATTTTGTTTGAAAACTGTGGAATCCACTTAGAGTAATATGCGAACATCCCTAGAGCCCTTCGTAAAGATGAGACATTTGAAGGTGGTGGATATTCCTGCAGAGGTCGTAACCGTTCAGGATCTGGTTTAACGCTATCATGACTAATTCAATGACCAAGTTTATCAATAAAGGAACCGAGGAAACGGTTTTCGATTCATTGAGGGTAATATTCCTTCGTTTGATCATTTGAAGGAAGGCAGCTACATTTCTGTCGTGGTCGGCTTGATCGATTCCAGCTACAGTAACATTATCCAGGTAGGGAAATGTATCCTTTAAACCTTCTTGTGTAACTAAATTGTCTATGATTCTTTGAAAAGATGGGACTCCATTTGTCACTCCAAACGGTAAGACAAAGAATTCGTACAGTTCACCAAGTGCTTCGAAAGCGGTAAACTTTGTCTCAGACTCTCGAAGAGGTATCTGGTGATATGCACTCTTGAGATCAAAGGTGGAAAATACTTTGTACTGTGAAAGCTTATTGATTAGATCATCAATACGTGGAAGTGGACATGCATCTAACTCTGTAAATAAATTTACAGTCTGGGAATAGTAAATGCACAATCTTTGTTAAGAAATTGCGTTTAAATGTTGTGAGTTGACTCATGTTTGATTGATGGACACTCCGTTTGTTTGAACATTTACATAATACCATGCTGCGTTCTCTTTGTTTTAGCTTAAAAATGTTTTGCTTCGCTGTGCTGGCTGTATCATGTTTTGTTGTTCTCAACTGAGAAATTGTTTGAGAAGTGTCGTTATATTTTCCCAGTTATATTCAAATTTTATCAAGTTAGGGGCCCAGAATACGGGAATATCGTCTGAATATGGTTTTGGTATCGTTGTCGAATAACGTCGTGTTTAAAACTAGAGGAATCACACGCTGTTTGGCTTGAAATTGTTGTGATCGAATTTAATAAATCGCCACGGCCGCCGCTGACGAAACTGGTTTTAAAATTGAAAAGTTAACGGCAGACAACTACTATCACTGGAAATTTCAGATGAAAATGTGCTTGATCGGTAAGGATCTTTAGGACATAGTAACGGGGGTGGAAACATTGCCTGAGGCAGCTACAGCCGCGGACGAAAGAAAATTCAGGAAACGCGAAAACTAAGCCCTTGCTTTTGTCTGTTTATCTGTGAATTCAAACTTGCAGATTTACGTACGATCAGCCAAAAATGCAAAAGAAGCATGGGATAACCTGGAGAAGCACTTTGAAGAGAAATCACTTTCTCGAAATATATTTTATAGAAGGAGGCTTTATGCTGCTCGCATGGAAAAGGGAACCAAAATGACAGAGCACATAAACTACGTAAAAACACTTGCTGAGCATTTAGAAGCAGTGGGAGATTCTGTGAAGGAAAAGGATTTAGTAATAATTCTTATTAGTAGTCTGCCAGACAGTATAATTTTTTGATTACAGCATTAGAAACCATCGCGGAGGAGAAATTGACGTGGGATTACGTACGTGATAGGCTGCTTCATGAATATAAAAAGATGCATACCGGAAATGCCATTGCTAGTGGAAGCGATGTTAATCAAGACGCTCTAATTAGCTGTGAAACAACAGATCAAAAGAAACCCTTCGACAAAAGGAAATTCAAGGAAACAAAAGTACATTTTGTTAAAGATTGTTTCAAAAGAAAAGTTGATGAAAGAAAGCCTCGAAACCAAGAAGCTGCAGATAAAATTGAAACTATTGATGACGCGAAAGATGGAAAACAAGAAATTGCATTTGCTGTAGACCGCAATATTTCCCAATTTAATGAATTATGGATTTACTCTGGTCCTTAATAGCATATGACACCAGAAAAGAAAAGACTTTGTGATTATATTATCTTTAAAGAGCCACTGAAAGTAAAACTGGCTGATAACAGCATTATGCTGGCCTATGGGAAAGGAAGTCTTCACGTCACAGTCTAAGATGGCACAGAAAAGGTGGATGTGGTTTTTAAAGATGTTTTGTATGTACCAAAGATACAAAATAAATTGCTATCGTTGCCATCAATGACAGAAAGAGGAGCTAAAGTTCAGTTTAAAGGACAGTTCTGTAAAGTCATAATTAATGACAAGTCATCTACAATTGGACAAAAGTATGGAAAGCTGTACAAATTGAACTCTGAACCAGTACACACTTCTTACCTTGGATCTGCAGTTGATAAAGATAGAAAGCAATCAATTTGACATTGTCGTTTTGGTCATTTGGGTGCTGACAGTATGAAGAAATTGTTGACAGAAAAATTAGTTGATGGAATGGATTTTAACATAACTGATGATGTTAATGAGCAAGTATGTGAAGGTTGCCTCATGGGAAAACAACATCGTAATCCATTTTCAAAAGAATCATTTAATCGAGCATCAGAAGTTCTTGCAACAATACACAGTGATATATGTGGTCCTATTAATGTGGAATCACTTGGAAAGTCAAGAAATTTGTGGCATTTATAGATGATGCATCTCGATACACTCATGTTTATTTCATACAACACAAGCGTGAAGTCCTCGACAAGTTCAAAGAGTTTGTCAATTTGACAACCAACCAGACTGGAAAGAAAGTTAAGAAATTACGTACAGATAATGGTGGTGAATTTTGCTCCAAAGAGTTTGCAAAATACCTGAAGGAAAGGGGAATTGTACATCACACAACAACACCAATGAATCCACAACAGAACGGAGTTGCAGAGCGTATGAATAGAATTATTGTTGAAACAGCTCGTTCTATGTTACATCATGCTAGTCTACCAACCTCATTTTGGGCAGAAGCAGTGAGCACAGCTGTGTTCTTGAGAAACCGCAGCCCAACAGTTACTGTCAATAAGAAGACACCTTTTGAATGCTGGTAAAATGCAAAGCCGAATGTGTCAAACCTTAAAGTATTTGGTTGCATAGCTTATGTACATGTTGCAGACAAGAATCGTCACAAGTTTGATGCGAAATCCAAACAAGTGGTATTCGCTGGGTACCCAGATGGAATTAAAGGTTATAAACTTTATGATCTTAATACAAAGAGCTTCATTCGGAGTCGTGATGTCAAGTTTCTTGAAAGCACCTTCAGAAATAATGGTATGTTTGCATTTGAAAAGAGAATCAAAGATGTAGATTTGTATACTGAGAAACCCACAATTACTGATGATGTGTACTTTGATGGTAGTAATGCAGAAATCAACAACGAGGAACACATGGCGATAGAGAGAATGCTGAGAGAGAAAATGAAGCAGAATTTGTTCCACGGAGATCACAGCGTCAAAGAGTTGCTCCTGATCGCTTTGGAGTGATAGCTTGTGACTGGTGGGATTTTGCTTCAGTGGCAGCTACAGATGAAGAAGAACCCAAAAACATCAGTGAAGCATTTAACAGCAGGAATTCGAAATTGTGGAAAACTGCTACTGACAACGAATATCAATCATTGCTGAAAAACAAAACTTGGGATTTAGTCAAATTACCAGAAGGAAAGAATGTTGTCACATGAAAATGGGTCTTCAAAATGAAACGTAAACCAGATGGAACAGTGGATCGATACAAAGCTAGATTGGTGGCTCAGGGCTACTCTCAAGAAGCTGGACAAGACTATGATGATACTTTTGCTCCAGTAGCCAGATATAGTTCTACTAGATCTGTGCTTGCAATTGCAAATCAACTGAATCTTGAACTCCACCAAATGGACGTGAAAACTGCATTTCTAAATGGAGATTTAGAGCATGAGATCTACATGGAACAGCCAGAAGGCTATGTTGATAAAAACCATCCAGATAAAGTATGCAGACTTCGAAAGAGTCTTTATGGCTTGAAACAATCCGCAAGATGCTGGAATACTACAATGGATCGGTATCTGAAAGATTCTGGATACGTTCAAAGCAATGCCGATCCATGCATCTACTATAAGGCTGAGAAAGGAGATCGGTATACGATGTTGATTGCATTATGTTGATGATATTGTGTTAGCAACAAATAGTTGTGACATGTTGGAAAGAGAAAAGGAGACATTGAAAGATCAGTTTGAAATGGAAGATCAAGGAGAAATTCATTACTGTTTAGGCATGTTCATCAAAAGAAACATAGATTTAAAGACTCTCACCATTAATCAAAGAGCATATCTTGAGAATTTGCTGAAAAGATTCAACATGTTCGACTGCAAACCAGTTTCAACGCCAATAGAAGTTGAGAAGAAGTTTGAAAAAATGAAGGACGGAGAAAAATCAGCGAATGCGAGGGATTATCAAGCTGCAATTGGATCGATCATGTATGCAGCGAATGCTACCCGCCCTGATATATCATCTGCAGTGGGAGTATTAAGTCAATTCTCTTCAAACCAAGGACAAAAGAATTTCCAAGGAGTTAAGAGAATCATGCGTTATTTAAAAGGAACGTTGGATTATGGGTTGAAATTTGAGGCACAAGATAAAGGCAATATTGAGCTTCATGTCTATGCAGATGCTGACTGGGCTGGAGATGTAGACACACGGAAGTCTACTTCAGGATATCTTTTTCAAATTGGTAATGCAACTATCTCATGGAGAACAGAGAAGCAAACAATCGTTGCATTGTCTTCAATTGAGGCAGAATTCGTTTTATCTGTGTTATGCACATAGAGTAACTCTATGGTTCTGCAACTCATGAAACAATATGGCTTCGTAGTCTTCTCGAAGTATAGGATTCTCGTGTAAACGGTTGGGATCGGATCCAAACAAGTACGGATCCAAAATAAGGCGGAAAATGTCCATTTCGAGGTACTTCGTAAGAAATTAATTGTTTCGAATCTTTTGACTTGGTATATCCTCGGCTAAGCTATCAAATCTATTTATCAAAATGTCTCCTTTTTCAAAATGAATAAAAGAGGTTGATAAAGGACCAAGGAGCAAAGTTTATGGTTGGACTGATGAGGAGACGGCTCTACTGTTGAAAGTTGTGCTGGAAAATAAAGTAAACAATATCCAAGGAGCATTTTTTTGAGAAAAAGTAAAACAAGATATGAAGGCAGATACAATAGCCTTCGATCTCTGTAAAATAAAAAATAACGTTCTCCCTTCTGAGGTTGAATAATTGCCGCTAAAAGTTCCCTTTTGAGAGTAAGCACGCAAATATGCGCATCTTGGATCCATACGGATCCGATCCTGTGCTAAAACTAATATTTTCAGATCTGATCCCGTGTAAACACCTTCTCAAAAATGAGTTAGGATCCAAATGGATCCGATACTGTTTGGATCCGATCCCGTGTAAACAGGGCCTCAGTGTTTCATTATAAAGAAGGAAATTAAAACCAGTATCCTCGTTATTCAGAAAAAACTTAAGATATCGGTCACATGATTGTTTCATCTCAAAATTTATGAAAATGCCAAAAAATTGATTACCTTTCCTATCTGTGAAAGCTTTGGCCAAATTTGCCTCCCCGGAGTGGGGAGAGATCTTTTTGGGTGTCAATATTCAGTTACCCAAAAATTTCTTGAATTGAATCAAAACAGTAATAGATGAAGGACCAGAGAAGTGCAAAAATATAAAAATTGTAAAATAACTATTATTATCTCTGTGCAGGACAGTATTATTCGCAAATGAAATATATTGTTACAAGACACTAGCTACACAAAAAAGCACTTAAGAAACAGAGGTGCCATTAGGAGTTTTCAGGAGGGGGCTCTTGGGAGGGGGCAATTAGGAGGGGGCTCTTGGGAGGGGGCTTTTGGGAGGGGGCTTTTGGGAGGGAGCTCCTAGGAGGGAATTTTAGGCAGGGGTTCTTGCAAGTGGACAAAGCCACCTTATCTAAGTTCGAAGAACATTTTGGAGGTATCTTAGCTCTTATTCTATGATGAATTCTTCAAAAAGCTTTTTGACTAACACTAGTTCAGGATAGCGAATAAAAATGACATTTTGGATTGTTTTATTTTCTGAGTAAATAGTATGCTAGTGGCCTTTGCATATGAACGGCTAACATTTTGTTAGTAAATTGTAAAGCGCAACTGAATACTATAGTATGAGGGCACTATAAAAATTATGTATTATCATTATTCTAACGAAAGTCTACTTGGTAAAGAAAATTCGTATTTCAGTTGCGCTGTGTGAAAACCAATCCCCTTTTGCCTATAGTGCACTCTGTGGAGGGCTATGATATAATAAATATCGTTTGCTTTATGCAGAAAGACAGCTCACATTGCGAAAAATATCAGGTGAATTCTGGACCTAAAGAAGTCTAACAACCTTACTTTTCATGAAGGCACCTCTGTCTATACAGCATACAATTGCGTACAAATTATTTTGTAAGCAAAAAAACAATGGGTTTTTAAATATTTTAGTCATTGTGCCTGAAATATTAACAACAAATATTATAAAAGCAACTAAAAATCAAATATCCCATATATATATTCGTTATCTTAAAAAACTACTTTTGAAGTATTTGAGCACTAAATCGATTAATTTATTAGTAAGATAACTATGCGTTTAAAATTTTACAGATAAAAATAATACCAGTACGTGAATTTGTTTACCCCAGCTACAATCTCAAATAAAAACCGTACTATAAACACCTATCACAAAGAGCTGTTTGGCCCTTGACAAAGTTCCTACAAGGGCATAGCCTGTTGACAAAGGCGTTCTCAGCAACACAACTAAAGTACAAAAAATGCTCCTGTGTAAAACACGTGCCAGTTAAAGCATTATATGAAGGATGGTATATTCGCTTCTCTGCTTTCGTCTTCTTGCACTTTAAACCAGCACTAGATGGAATTGAAAGAGGACCTTGATAAGCAACTGCAGCATTATAACCAGGAAGTCTTAAGAACAGGAAGAAAGAAGGGCAAACAGGAAGTCTTAAAAACAGGAAGAAAGATGGGCAGAACAGGAAGTTTTAAGAACAGGAAGAAAGATGGGCAGAACAGGAAGTCTTAAGAACAAGAAAAAAATGGGCAGGACAGGAAGTCTTAAAACAGGAAGAAAGATGGGCAGAACAGGAAGTCTTAAGAACAAGAAGAAAAATGGGCAGAACAGGAAGTCTAAGAACAGGAAGAAAAAGGCAAGACAGGAAGCCTCACAGGATTTATGCCACCTATTTTACCCTACCATTTTATTGACGAATTCGGTAGAAAAAAGATCAAAATTGAGCATTTCGAAGTTTTCCGACAAAATTTCACTGGGAGGGGGCTGTAGACGCAAATTTACAAAAGTATCCCGTGACCGCGTGACGTAGAAGTTGACAAGCGAAGACAGGCCTACACTTGAAATGCATAGGCTTTTCGCTACTCCCGCGCAAAAAGTTGATTTATTATGCAAAAATGAGTAATTTTGACATAGATTTTGTCACTGGATATTGTTGTGGGATGTCGTACATTATAGTTTTGAAACAAGTTTAAAAACCGAAAACGCAGCAAATAAAATAATTTAAGAACAAATTCATCAGAAGAAGGAAATTGACGTAGTGGTTTAGAAAACGGGATGAAGTTAGAGCAAATGGAATGAAGATACTGAATGGGAAATTTTTACTCATTAAATGGAGAAAAAGGTTTGATTTTTGAATTATTTGCGGTTTTCAACTCTTTGTCCTTTATCTATTTTCGATTGAAATTTGGCTAGGGTTGGAAGGTTGCTTGAGCAATTTTTTGTTTTTTGCTTTGTTTTTATCGTCTGATGGGCTGGTAAAACCTGAGAATAGAAAAGTTTTTTTATTCAGCCAAGGAGAAGTAGAATTGCCTACCCGCTAAATGATTCAATATTTGGCTGGGCTCGGGCCTACGATTTTCCGACAAGACAACATCTTGGATGGGCTTCCGCTTCCGACACATTGAAAATTTGCCAATTATCCACCGAAAGCCCGAATTTCCCGACGCGAAAGCCTTAGCCCCCTGATACCAATAATTTTCTCTAATGAAGATAACAAGCTTTTTTTCGCGTTTCACTTGAACGATCCCTGACTTCCGCATTCTTTGGAAAATTTGTGGTATGTTAAATTTTACCACTCCGATAGAGATGAAGCCCGTACTGTCGGAGTGCATTCGTAGGCAGCACAATAAGGTATGATTCCCTAACTTACAAAGATTTCTTTCTTTGAATAGATTAAAAAATATCAACAAAACAGTCGTCCCGCTTTGATAAAAAAGTTCCTAAATAAAAGATTTCCGAGAGCCCCCTCGCCAGTAAGCCAACGGTAAGATACTACGAAATATCCGAATGCCACCCAAAAAATGAGGAATACATATTATTTGTATTTCCATTGAAATACATTGGATATGCTTGCAAATGCACTGCTTAAGACATTGCTATCTCGTATCTTTTTTTGCCAAAATGATTTATACAGAGACATGAAATTTCCCCTTCGACCCCCCATATCTTGGAAACACCTCCAAGCACGCCATATCAACATCCAGATTCAAAATCTACCCAAAACTATTCCAGAAAAACATCATTCAATAATTTGTCCTCAAAAGTGCAATGCTTTCAATGTTGAGGTTGTCAACTTCTACGTCACAGCATCACGTGATACGTTTCCCGCCATAATTTAAAACAGCCGTTTTGAGGGTCTTACAAACCCAGATCGTGGCAATATTTTGGAAGCATACTCAGATAGCTTTTATTTACAAGTATCAAGAGGAAAAAATTTGGCGCCAAAATAGGTGGCATAAGTCCTTTAAGAACAGGAAAAAAATGGGCATGACAAATAGGTTTCGGAAAATTTTTGCAAAATTCGACAAAGTACAGCTTACCTTTCAAATGTTTGAATCACATTGATATCTGAGAAATATGAAGGCTCACATATCTTCCCTGCAAAAAAACAAAACTTATCAAATTTGTCGCAAACTCAATTCCTCTTTTTAAATGTATCAAACTATTCCAATAAAAAAATGAACAATATTCCTTCAATGTAGACTTTGCACAAAACGATTCACCTTTTTTTCTACAGAGATTTTTGCAGGATACGCCTCTTGGAGCCAAGTACACTTCCAAATTTCTAATTGGAGGCCATCTTGGAGCATTTGGGTCACAGAAATCCTAAAATAAGATGAAAATATTGTGAAATCGGTGTCTAACGGGCAAAAATGGTTATTTCACAAATCTGTTGAGCTACATTCAAATAAAGCACAAGCATGCGGATGCAAAATTCCTTAAAGCGAGGAACCGAATATGGCACTAAATGACCATCAACAAAACTTTAGACAAATTAAAGGCATTTGGTTTTTTAAACAGATGTGTTTCTGCCTTACAAACAGAAATAGATGAAAGATAAAACTGCTTTATTTCAATTCGCTTCAGATACAATGACCACAAAGAGCCAATCGATTCAACAGATAAATATCTAATGTTCTTTTAATCTCAAGGAGCCATTATATCTTGGTGCGTTCAATATGAAGTAACAAGCACAAAACAGCTAACAAACCTGGTGTTGAATAAGAGCGTGTACTCTTTCCATCATGCCGACGGCGGTGAACTCTCTAGGTAAATATTGTTTGAAGCTCTAACGTAGAAAAAAGCAAACATACACGAGATGTTCTCTTAATGGGAAGGTCCACCTTGGTCCTAGAAAGCCTTTTGAGAGCAATGAACGTTCCTAGTTAGTGACTATGAAAAATAACTGACCTGCCAATTCAAAATATAATTCATAACTTAGCTATGAGGCTTATAAATCATTATGAACATCGCTAAAATTTTATTTTTCACCATTCGGCAATTATAAAGGGAGGGGTTGGAAAGTCACCGAACAATATGTACTTTAAGAGCTAAAGTGAAAAATGAACATGCCAGTGTGAAAATTATATACATCGGCGCTCTTCAATGGTATATTCATGCTCTGCCTCAGGAAAACCTAAATGTTTATGGCTTGGACTTAACGATAAAAAATTTAGGGGTAACTGAAAAAAGACGACGTTAAACACGAACAAGATTTGAAATATTTACATTGGATTTTTTCAAATTTTTGAGAAATTCGACCAACGATGTGATATTTTTTGGATCAACTGTGAAGACATAAGGCTCGCCAATAAAATCTTCCATGTAAGGATTTTGTGACGTAACCTAAAAAAGATAGACGTTATATTTCATGAGATTATATTTAAAAATTTGCAGAATAACTTTATTACATTAAATAACCACAATCTTTGAACAGTGACCTATGTCTAACACAAGCAATTGCTTACATCATTCGATTTATATGTCTATCTGTCCAGCCAATAAATATATATATATATACCATTGAGCGAAATCTCAAGAATTGTGATAAATCAAAATTGTTAATAGCGTTTCATATATTTCTTCAATATTCTTTGTTTGGTATTCAATATTTTTGTGTTATTCAAACAAGTCAAAGGTAAAAAATGTATTTTGAATTTTATTACACAAATGAAGTAAATGGTAAGTTCAGCATGATCCTAGACTTTCCCGAAGTATATTTTTGTTAAATCCGCAATGCATTGGTACTACTGCGAGGGCAAATCTAAGCTGCGAAGGAGATATTGGAGGTCGAGGGAATCTGTTTTCTCATAATGCGATTCTTTACAACATTTAGCAAATCTTCGACTGAATTCGGTTTGAATGGAACTCGGCTACGGGAAAGTCTTCCAAAGACACTGTTTAGCAGGTGGGCTTTTCCACGGAGACCTTAGTGCAAAAACAGCTACTCTTTTTGGTAGGGGAAAACATATTGATGAATAATAATGATAATAATAATGACTAATATTTTAACAGGTTGCCTTGGTCAGATGTACTAGCATCTGTTATGATTCAAGGAATTTTTGCAGGTCTTTGGCTGTGATTACAATTTCACCCCTATTTTGAGTTAAAGTTTGGTTAAACAACCATCAACACTAAATATAACAATTTAATGTACACAAAGCTAACTATTTTTAATCAACACTGCTGCAACGTTGGCTGGACAAGAACAACTTCTGCTGTGTCAAAATACAAAACATGTCCACACAAACCTTTCTTAAGGTTGGCTTTTCCTTGAAGAAAACATCATTTAGTTTGTTTTTTGCTGGACTAAACTAAAAATTAAAAACAAGACACTTTATCAATAAAAGGTGACAAGAAATCAATAAAACAAAGTTAGCCAAAAAGCTACATTAACAATCATTCGGTAAAGAGCGACTTCTATAGTTTGTGGGCAGCAAAACGCTCTGAAAGATCATGCTGGAAACCTTCCTTTCAAAAATTCAAAGCGCTAACAGCTCGGACTATACGGCATCAACAATTGCGGTATGACAGACCAGTAAACAGTAATTTTCATTAATCACATAGTAATCTACTTGGATATTTTAATAAGATCTCTTAGTTGCCCTTTGATCACAGAGCAAACTCTAGAAAACAAACTGAATGAAAATCACCTTGCTAGGTAAAGATTGTCATGGCTCAAACATCATACAAACAAGCCTAAAGAAAGTGTTAAATGCAGGCAAAGTTGAAATGATGCTTTCCAAAATATGCCATGCAAATAGCGTTAATGCAACTAAAACAACGATGTCATAACAAAGTTTAAATACGTATGCTCTCTCCACTGACTCTTTGCCAACCATGAAAACTTAAAAAGCCTTACTGAATGTTTGGCGGTATGAGAACTTACCTAGAAAAATATTTTCGTAGAACATTCCCTCTACGAAATATTAAATACATAAAAAAGTTATAACTGCGAACATCTACCTTTGGATTAAGGAAAACAGCCCCGTTTGCAACTGCCTCTAGAGCGCCAGGGCCTTCAAATGGAAACCCCAAACCAATAAATAGCTAAAAGGCAAATATTAATACAAATGTAAATTGAATACTTCTGCGAATAAAAGAACGAGAACAATATTGCAAATCGGAACCACCGCAAAAAAACCTAAAAACTATTTCATTAAAAAGATATTTGATAACGACAGCCTCAAAATACTGACAATCTCACAATACACAGAAAATTTCTGCAAAATTAAAAAAGATTTTATCTCATGAGGCACTGTCTCCAAGTCGAGTTCAGAATAATAGAAAAATTGAATGAAACACTTCTAAACATGCTTAGATAAACTACAAGTCATCTAACATTCAAGAAAAAATTATTGGGCTACATTGTACAGAAATCATACTTTGAAATGACGCAGATTGCATCGCGATGCTCTAGGCACGATTAATGAAAAATTTAAACTTCTGTTATCGAATCTTAAACACCCTGTTGTTTTTTATCTGCACATAAAACCTGCCATAGGACATCACCGACCATTCTCGGACTGAGTTCGACCAGTCCGTCAAACTGTTTCGTATTGATTACTATATAACTAGTCATTTTGACAAAAGACTAAAGGAAAAACAACTTCAGCTTAAAGTTTTTTGCCAAACTGTTGACAACTCTTAACAGGCACAAACCTTTGTCTCTTCTAATATCTTCTTTAATTCGTCAGATTTCACAACACCATGATTGACAATGTAACTTGGTAAAGGACCATCATCTTTCTACGAGAAAAGTTAAATGATGCAGATTGAAATAGCGAATGGGCTTTCATCAAAGACTGGCTTACCATTCATGATAATGGTTACGATGATTATGATGATGATGACACGCGGTGTGCTTTCTGTACATATCATCACTGCCGAAACGAAGGAAGGAAGTCTCTAACACAGAGCGTCAAGGAACCAACCAAGCACATTTGTTTATCATTAAGCTAAAGAGAAAGCTCACCTTTTTTGCAAAGGTAGAATGAACTTCAAAATAGTCTTTTATTGTATCCAAATATTTATGATCTACCTGAAATGACAAATTTGATTAACATTTAAAGCTGCCTTGAAAAGGAAACGAGACACATTAGACACATTATTTTCAAAGATTGCTGCATCAGCTACTCTCCGATGCCCAGTTTTACCACCAAAATCACTTGTTATGACTCGTATTTAAGCCAAGAAACTGTGAAAAATTCTTCCCTATGTATTTGCTGCCTACACGAAAGCATCATAGCTGCTGCGTTTTGCAACTATAGAGAGTTTCTTGTTCAACCACTCTTTCTTCATTCATAGAAATTTTACCAACCCCCTGTTATTACAAAACCTCTCAATTAAGGCAAATTGAAAAGTCACAAGAAGCTTGGTTTCATGCTCCAATCAACCACTGTCAAAAGTCTCTTCTATAATTCACTAGCAAGGCGAATGTCGTGTTCGCAATGTTATAAGCATTGCAACATCAAAAAATATTTGGTAATTATAACATAAGTTAAAAATTTTCAAATGATTACTTACAAAATCTAAATACATAGCTAGCTTTCCATAAATCAATGCTTGATTCTTTTTGAATAGTTTCTTTTCTTTAACACTGCCAGCAATGAATCCAAGAAACGTGTTGTCAGGACTGTGAGCTGTTGGTATCGAAAAACCCAATGAAAACTCACACGTGAGGACAAAGGTGCAAAAGAAAGTTACTCTGATATCATTCATTTCATCCGACACAGGGTATGTTCAATTAGGAATGGTATTGGAAGTTAATTGTTTTTTTTCTGTTTTTGCCGTTTCATGCAATACTTATTGATTTACTTGTTAATCTCAAAAAAACAATTCGTCGATTTTGAGACAGAAAAAAGTTTTGCTGGTCACTGGCAGCAAAATTCACTCTTAGTCCTGAATTTGTTCACTCTTAATCCTGAATTTGCTAACGTCGTGAACGGCCTAACGCAAAAACAGCCTAATCTCAAAACCGCCTCACGCGAAACCGCCTAACGCGAAATCCGCTTAAGCGTCATTCAGGAATTCGATCTACCCGTCCCAACTTTTGCAAGATTCTTTCATAGGATGTCATGAAAGATGATATCGAATGCTTTCTGAAAAGGTGATTTCAGCGTAATCAAGATTTCCCTCTTAAAGAAGCCATCAATCTCTAGTATTCGAAATGTTTAAAACAATAGAACGCAAAGTCATATGACTTTTTATGCTTCCGCAACGGAGATCGCACATTGTCTTAAAAACTAACATTTCAAATGCTCGATAAATGAAAGAAAATATTGATATAGGCCTACAATTTGGCCTGGCATACCAAGAGCAACTATTGAAACTACAGTGCCTTGGCTTTCTGCCATTTACATAGAAAATTTTCCTGATCATTCTCATAGAATTTCCTTTTCATAGAATAATCATTGAAGGATTGAAAAGAGTGCATAAACGGCCTAACAACACTTAAGCCCTGTCACTATGTCTTTGCAGAAACGCTTGAACGTTGGTCGCATTTTCCTTATACAATTACCTAGTGACGCTCAATATACTGTCACCATCGTGGTTTTCAAACTGATTTTGAAAGTCAAACTGAAGTTCGCTTGCAAAAACAATTGAATTTCAAGACCCTTTCACTTAATGTAGCTTTTAGGCCTTCTGGATATGAAAGCATCACCTAAGACTAATTACAAGGCAAAAACGTTGAAGCTAGACGTACGGAAATAGGTTAGAAATTGTTGCAGCTGCAAGTCCAGCCTTCCCCACATGCTAGGCCCTCCAAGGATAGGCTGATCATAACCGCCATAGTTGAATTCTGCTTCGGTGCCGAACGAGTCCAGAAGTCGAATTTTACATCTGTAAAATGAAATAGTAGCATATATTCGCATATAGCAGATAGATGAATAATTATCCGATCAATTCATAACAGTAATTTAACAAATGAGACACGGAGATCCATATAATGGAAAACGTATGATATGTAAGAACAAGCTTCCAAAAACGTAATACTGAATGGCTGTTTGCAGATCTAGCTCATGGTTTGCGAGCATATGCAGTGGATGTGTTGAAAGAGATACAATCCAGAGCAAGGTCATAAGGCTGGGAACCTAAGAATCGCGGGTACCAAAACAGGATAGGCATGTGCTGTCAAAGAACATAAAGAAATGCTAGGCTGCTCATGAGGGCGTTAGAAAGTCAACGTATTTCACATTCCCCTTAAAGTTGTGTGCTAAACAATTACCCCATATTTTGGGGCAATTTTGAACTTCAGAAAAACCTTTCAGAACTTTTTTAACATCAACTTAACCTGTCTCCCTTCTTCCTACTTTAAAAAAACTTCAGAAATGTTTCAATTCAGGCTACTGCCATTTGTTTATGAACCTAATCAAATGAAAATTCTCTCTTGATTTCTCTCTTTTCTTTCAATGCCAATATTAACCAACACTCAACTAGGCAATCTAATAATTGCAATTTGTCTTTGACTCATAAAAAGAGCATTCGTAGGACCTGAAGTCGATTTGATATCCGCGAGGGAAAAGGTGGAGCGACATTCTTTCAGAAATAAGAAATTCCCTTCTAAACAAACAAACGATAACAATTTCTCTTACTAAGTCCATATTTCGGCTACATCCAACATGGTTGGCGCACAATCAGTTGAAAAATTCCTTTGGCAGTAAAATCATACAAAAACATTTTTAATTTTCTAAGGGGTGATCCCTTCTCTATTAGCAATTTTATCTACCGAGAAAAGGTTCTCTGACTTGTATTACTCTTTGTGGAGTTCTAACTTTATTCTCTATTCCAAGTTTGTTATTGTATTGATTTTCTGTTAATACTGTGTTATTAATCTTTCTTTATAATTTTTTCTAATTTTGCTATTTATTTTTAAGTTTACACAAGTATACCTAGAACTAATTGCAGTGGAATTCGAAATGAGAACTGATTTGAAATGAAAAGATTGCTGCTACAAGATCTACATACCGAAGTCTTGCGTAATTGCTGGTAGCGTATCTATGCATCATGAGAACACCGTTCACATCAGAAAATATCAAGTCAAATTCATCGTGCTTTGCCGCATCTTTTGAGGCGCAGCCTTCGTCATCTTTAGGTAAAAACCTTGAGCAATAACGAACAGTTATTCGCTAGATTCTGAGCAATGACAAATATGAAACTAAATGTTAAAAATATAATCATATTCCTGTCTAAACTTCATAACTCATCTGTACATAAAAATCATAATAGAGATTTTCAATCTCTTTTTAAAAGCATTTACTGCTCTTTTTAAATATTTTTTTGGCAGCAAATTTGGTTTTCGCTGAGTTTAATCCTTGGTAATTTAATATTTCGCACAAATGCAAAGGCAAAAGTAAAAATATTCCCAACCGAAAAACCTGCTATATGTTACCCGCCATTATTCCTTTTAAATGAACAGCGCAAACCACCACGTTAATTCTTGCGCTAGAAGCTTTAAGCCCGGTTCACGCCAGTTTCAATACACAGTTGAATTGAATTCAATGCAGACAAGCCATATAAAAAAACAGGTCAAAGAGGGCTTTAAACGAATTGAAACTTAGGGTAAAATTAGGATCACGATGAAGTTGATGATGATTATGAGGATGTTAGTTGACTTGATTTTAAACTAAAGTCTGAAATGCTATGTGACTTACTTGTTTAGATCCTTTTCATACATGGCAACGGTGATGTCATGTCCGAGTGCATATGAAGTCGCCATCAAATCGGTCCATTGTACCAGTTCACCTACAAAACCTCCGCGACCAGCCAGTTTCAAAATATTAAGTTGAAATCCAATAGAACCAAGAAAGAAGAAAATCTACAAAGCAAAAACACTTTTAATCCACTTTGATTCAACAGTTAAGAATTTTTGGCACTGGCTAAATGTTCGTTTGAGTTAATTATTGTCAGTTTTTCGTTATAGATGGGTGGTGGGTGAAACTGCAAGCCCCGCCGCATTCCCCAGTCTGAATAAATCAACAACAAGTGGGTAGTAAACTCACATAATGCCGAGGAGATCCCAGTTGCTATTTTAAGCGTAACAGACAGTTATTTATTCAACTTCAGCTTCTGTCAACATTAATCCAACATTTGTTTGATCATCTAACAAAGTGGCCGAAAGTGTCAAAACAATTAATACATGGTATTGGACTGTTTAGCTTCCATCTTTCTTCGTTTTACCAAATGTCATATGTCCATATCACACATACCTTCTTCTTTCTTCTATTCTGAAAATGTTTTTGCTCCTTTAGAGATCTGGATGCTTCAACTACTTGTGGCCAGATGTGCCTTGTGCGTTGTTTGATCCAATCAAAGAAATCCAAAGATAGAATCTTAAGGAGACCATCAAGATCGTCCCGAAAATCCGCCTGCAACGTATACAATGTCATCAAATCAGAAATAGCATTAGCGAAATTGTGCTCTGGGATGTTTTGTTATCTTACATCAAATAAAAACTCTCCATCATCATTTCAATGCAAAATCGCTTTTTCAAAAAGCTCTTTGGAACGATAAGATACACCGCTAGAGCGCTCTCATTAAAAGCCAAATCACTTCGTTCCGTTCATTCCGTTCTCCGTTGACTTCCATACCCTCTAAGAGACTAGGATATTATTTACACTAGGTAGGAGCATCATGAAATTTGATGAAATACTAAAACCTTTAAAAGACACAAATTAGGTAAGATGCTTCCTCTAAAAAGACACCTAGGAAGCACTGTCATACGAAAATGGGTCACCTCTATTTAACAACATTCATCTGTGATCACTATAAACTTGCATTACTGTTTTTTTACTCTACGTAAATTGGAAAACAGCTTTTCGATAGTGAAAAGAGCAAGACAAGAATAACTTAAGGTAAACGTGAAAACTATCCATTATTATGATGCATTTTGGTACAAAACTCTGTTTACGTCAAAAAAAGGTCATAAGAATTACAGAATCTACAAACCTTAAAGCTAGATATTTTTGGAACTGGTTTAGCCTTAACACAGAATGGCTCTACCTGGAGGGAGATAAATATAAACTTTAGCACAATAGCGTCGCAAAATGCTCATCCAATTCACATGCAAAGAACATATCTAATCAATGTATGACTAGAATCGACAGAATTCATGATCGAAAGGCAATTGCTACTAAAATGACTCACTGAGAAAAAAGCCAAAAAATAAAATGATTTCCACTGGCAGGTTATGAGTAAATTTTGCAGCCACATCGGCAGTGCCCAGAGTCAAATAGGAAACATGGTAAAATAGATAAATTTGCTTACAACTCTACAAAACTTATTTGATATCGACAAAGTGGTTGATTGAGAACAAAAAGCTTGCATAAGATGCAGGGAAATTCCAAAATGTCGTTCAATTTTCTGAAAGGGGGCTCCCTAAAAATGACATTTCTTGTCAGGGAAGGATAACATTGGATAGGGCTAGTTACACAGGGGTGATACATTCGTATGATAAGGCAAAGCTAGAGCATTAAATTTTCCAAAGGACTGAAAAAATAATGGAAAAGAATGTGGAAATTTTGAAGTAACTCGGCTGAGGCTTGATTTGGATGGATTTGCTGGGATAATGTATTGTTCCAAAGGGATTTGCTAATCTGCTTAGTATTGTAGTAATATTGTAATATTGTAGCAAGGCGTTTAAAAAGCTCAACTTAAAAAGTACCTCTGTTAGGTATCTCATTACTGAGCAGTCAGACCCATCAATGTCATGTTTGTTTTTGAAGCAAGGTAGTTGGTATGCCATCTTCATGTACTATGGCAGAAAAAAGAATTGCAATTTGTAAACATATTTAAGTCAACTGGGTAACCTTGTCAAGATTAAATTGATACACAACTACAAACAAAGAGCACTATGCAATAATTATAACTTGAAGGGAAAGAAAATCTTTACCAGTGTCAAGTTGACTCTGGAAAGCTTTCATTTGACTGATTTTGTTTAATCAGAGCTGCTGAATAGGTATCTAATAAAATAAAACAAACTTACAACAACAATGACAGTAGTTTTGTGACACTTAATCATAAAAAGAATTAGAAATATGATCAGTAAGCAGTAAAATAGTGGTAAAAGGAATAAAATATTTTCTTGCTTCCAGAATGTCACTTTGGCTTACAAGTACAGGATGGTTCAAGACAAAATTTATAGCTATAATTTCCGAATTTGTACGTGCTATAAAACAGTTGCATTCAACTGTGTGCCATTGACAGCAAGAATAAGGTCACCTGGCCTTGATACTCCATGGAGCTACTCTCATCAAACAAAAGAAAAACTTGCTAAAGTGTCAAATAATCAAAATCTATAAAAAAATTCAATTTTTTTTACAGCGTAAATAATGTCAAAAATGTTTAATTACAATGAATTTTTCTTTGCAAAGAGGAAACAGTCGATGGTTTGTTGGTTGGCATGGATCTTGGGCCATTAATTTTACTGCATTGGGTCGAACGTCAGATTCTGGAAAGTATCCTGCAAAATTATTTAAATCATATCAAAATCACCGTGCATCAAAGCAGCTAGTTTTTTGTGAATGCCTACTCAAAATGTTCTGAGACTTGCTCGGTACAGAAAAATTTTGCAAAAAAAGTTATTTGAAAAACACTCAGAATTCAAATGTATTATATAAATTATATTCTAATAAATTAAGGCAAATAAATATTAGTGGTGATTATGGATAGGGTTTCCTTCTTAATTTGGTAAAATGCTGATATAAGTGCATATGAAAAATCAAATAAAGAAATATTATGCGGAATGGTGCTACAATGGTAAGTTTCATTTCACTTTTAAGCAAAAGATAATATGAGCTTCAATACTAGTTCATTGCTTTCAATTGTTTTAACTGACCCTTCAATTACAATACTCAATTGCAGCAGTCAGATTACAATCTATTATTACAAAGAATGGTGCTACAATGGTAAGTTTCATTTTACTTTTAAGCAAAAGATAATATGAGCTTCAATATTAGTTCATTGCTTTCAATTGTTTTAACTGACCCTTCAATTACAATACTCAATTGCAGCAGTCAGATTACAATCTATATACCATTATCATTATTCATCATTATTAACTGTTGTTTTTATATATAACAACAGACTGTCAGGAAACAAACTTAAAATCAGCTAAAAAACCTGCAACAGAAAGTCCAAGTCTACTCACCATGGCTGTTATCTGATCCATGCAACTCAATATATCTGAAGGTTTCAAAATTTTGGAAAAGAAGATACACTTGAAGAAAGACTACAACAACCAGAAGGCTTGTGAGGTTCCATCTTCCTTTAAAGACACCTTTTGTTAATATGCTTAAAGGCTTTAGAGGCATTTCACTTTTACCTACGAAAGAAATTAAAAAAATAAAAGTGTTTCAAATTTTCTTCATATCAAAATTCAATTATTTCTCATTTCTTTCATCTGGAAACTGTAGTTGTCTAGCCCTATATTCATTGTGAAATATTCAATCAAAGTTGCAAAAAAGTTAATTTCTTCCTGTCTTTAGATACAATGGACAAATGGAAAAACAAGAAAGTGGTTTTGAAAAAAGCAAAAATTTTAGAACATACTTAAGCATTTTATCTGACACTCTTCGAAGTAACATAGATTGAAACATTATTTAGGATTTGTCATTTTTTAGGGGTATCTCTTTTCTGAAAAGTGGGGAATTATCAGTATATGTTTTTGAACTGTGCAGAACTATTGGTACCATTTGAGGAAACATGTTGAATTATGAGTACCAATTTGGGAAAATATTGCAAAATCATTGGGGGGAGATTTAGCATTAACAAAATGAATGTCCAGTTAGAAAAGAAAGCATGAAATATGTGTAACATTGAGATTTTGTGGCAAAGGACATGCAAAATTTGTTTGATGATTTTTAAAGATTTTATTTGCTCTGCAGAATTATAAGTATAGTTTTCACCATGTTTGCGAAAATATGGGTCACATTTTTCCAGAAGTTTGTGAAGTTGTAAAAACAGTAAAACACTCTTAAAAATTGCAAGAAATGATTGCAAGAAATATTTTGAAATGCATTTCAAGATAGTCTAAAGGGTTTTGAAATGCATTTTAAGATAATCTAAAGGGCGCGGTCCAGAAAAGTTCTGCTCGCTCTGCTCGCAGGGTGCCTCTTCTCTCAGTTTTCGGCGATTTTCCCCCAAGGCCTCAGAAACCTCTCAGCAGCCCTGCCTGTGAGACCTGCTCATGCTAGCTAAGGTTCTATTTAGATGTACTGAACTATTTGAAAAAATGAGGGTGTCTCATTGCTGAAAACTTGACTTCTGGAGTAAAATCAAAGAAGGTACTCAGGCAAAGAAAATAACAATGCCAAAATCAAAGCAATAATTAACTGGTGAGAACATACTAAATAAAATCAACTGCGTAAAAATGCCACACCCAAAAATTGATATATTTTAGGCCATGCCCTATTCTTTTGGCAAATTGGTGGCTTGCACAAAGTGTTTAGCGACAGCCCTGACTGAACAGCTTAAGCTAGTAATGAACAGGCATTGATCTTTTCCCATTCATTCACCCTCAGTTTTTTAAATGCTGAACAACAGAGTTATAATCTGGTATTACAATAAGATCATATTATGTTAGTTACTGAATAGAGACCATATCTATGCTCCCCAGCTTTAAAAGCAGAATAAAAACCTGGAAGGGAGATGAATGCAACTGTAGATGATGAAGACCATTTGTGACAAATCAAAATGTTACAAACTGTAAATACCAAAAAGGAAATCATTGTAGACAAACAGTGTATCACTCAGATGTATGTATGTATTCTTAGCCAGTTTTTTCATGCTATGTTTTATCTACTTATCAAAATTTGGCATCTTTTTCTTTCTAAACAATTTTACTTTGCAGTAAGGTTGAATCAACTTTTATTCTGCAGCTTCTAATGTATTGGCCTAACTTCAATAAATTGATAAACATATCAATAATAGTAAAAGATATTGACAAATGTTTAATAACAGTAATTCTTGTTGACAAATGTCTTCTTAATTTATAAGGGCGTTTAAAAGTAGAGTTAAAAGTATTTATGCTTTTTAAGGTAAAAATTCTAGCTTCTTCCTAGGGGCGTTTTTCAGTGAATCTGGGAATCTGGGGAGCTTTGGTAGCCCAGCACACTTAAAAAAGCATAATAATTCATTTCTTCCGTGTCTTCCATGTCCTTTGAAAAGAGTAAAACTGATGCGATAGGAAGATGTTCGAAATGTTTCGTGAACTTCTACTCACGTTGCCTCAAAGCCTTGACTTGTCACCCACGCTCACTCGAGTATGCCCTCGATACGATGTGGCTGCTACCAACAAAGATTAAACATACTAATTGTAGAACCAGATATGCATAATAGTGAAAGAGGCTTTGAACAAAGCAAACATTTAGTAAACTAAAGCTTTTCGTCTGACACTCTTGAGAGTTTAAAATGTCAGAACATAGACCAAAAGCTCTACGCTAGGAAATATATATACCCAGTTGTGGATCGAAATAGGCCTATCAGAAACAGGGGCACATGATTAGTCTGAGACGCAAGCTTGAACCATTTCCTAGACGCTCTCATTCTGGTACAGTTAGAAGGTGATCAGAAGAACCAGCCGTCTCAATTCAATTTAGTATGGAACCGGTTTCATATAAATGCAGCAAATTTCTAATAAAAATGAAACACATTCTCGTTATATCTCTGCCAGCAGCGGTAATTTGTTTAAGGAACTCGCAAAAGCAGAGGTTTCACCAGCAATTTTTAATAAAAAGAGGGATGAAACATGTATGAATATTTCTCAAGAAGCTTTGATAAAGCGTTTGTTGAAGGATTTGGATTTTGAAGGAAGTGGTGGGGGCTCAGGGCGGCGCAGCCCCCCTTGTTAAAACGTTCAAAAAAACATGGGAGGGGGGGACTCAGCCAGATAAAGAAAAGAGATACAATTGACAGATTTAATCGTATTGAAAGCTTCATATGCATGAATATGCATGGATTATTCTATGGATAATTTCAGGCTCGGGTGTTCTTAATTTTGTTTTTATTTCAAAATCATGTACGCAGGACTACTTTGAGAGACTGAAAGCTATCAGTCAAAAACTGATTAAAACTGATCGTGTATTTCAGGTTTTAGAATGTTATTTCTAACCATGGTGGTGCTTCTCACAAGTCAATGTACCTGGCTGTTCAACCATTGATCGGAAAAACATCAACCCCCGTCATGCTCAAAATTGCAATGATTACATGACAAGAACAACTAAGAAATTTCATAGAGCCTCCCTTGTTAAAATCTTACGACTGCATCCCCACCCGTCTCTGTAGATAAATTTGTTAATAGCAACAATAGATAGTGAGCTATCAATTTCAAATTGAAAACAGAACACTTACCAGAATTTACTTGCAAATCTTGACGGATATTTTCACGTTCGTTAAATTGCCTGTTTCGAAACTGCTGTGTTCGGTTTTCCGAACTGCTCGGTGACACGTTTCTAGCCCACGTGCATCACCTAGGAGATGTTATAATCGTAGAAAAATTTCTACATGTCAATACATCAATATGTTTTTCAGAACATAAGCAAGCGATTGTAATCTTTTAAATTTTTAAATTCAAATAGAAAAGCAGGATAAGATTTACAAGTACCACTGAATGAAGAAAATAAGGTAGGATAACAACTGGAAATATGTAACGCGATTCCAGTAGTCCCTTTTGCTTTCGTTCATGTGTAAAATCTTTTTGATCTTAGGCTTTTCGCACTTTTCGATTTTACTCATTAAATAACTTTTAAAACTTTTCATTGCAAATTTATCGTATGTTACACATTTCACATGAAATCACCTGAAACGACCTGAAATCACCTGAAACTACCTGTAAATCACATACATTGTTTTCATGAATGGGATAATTCCACTGATGTGATAATTCCACTCTATAGTGGGCCTTTGTTCCAATCAATTACTTCGATTATTTCCCACTAGGGTGATTTTCAAGTTTTACCAAAAATAAAAGTATGCAAGTTCCTTAGAATGATCATATTTTGAATACCGAGCTTCTTTTGGTTACAATGAGTCAAAATAATCTTCATCAAAACGAGGCTAACGAAAAGCCACGAACGGGGTCACTCAAAAAGCGAAACTGCTCTAACTACCATTGGTAACTTGGTACCTTTCAATGAACGATACGGTAACCAAATATCAGCCCTAGGGATTGGATTCTTTCCGAATTCACTGGTTTCAATCCCGAGGTTTTGAGAACTGAGAGGTATTTTTGCAAAAGTTGGATCTTTTCTTCTTGGAAGTTAGAAAATCGAGTGTCCTAGCTTAAAGCGAGGTTAAACGACTGCAACATAGGGGTGGGGTTACCTCTGTTTAAACGGGGGGTCTAAACAAAATTTGTATTCATGTATAATCCTGATTTGTATATGGTTAATGATGATTAAATGAAATTTAATCAGAGTTAATTTAACGAGGGGCTTTTGCATTGGCTGTTACTCGCCTTCAACCAAGCAAAGTGAAACCAACACTATGCCAAAAAACCTTAAATACCCCTAAGAATAACCTAGGGAATGGAAACCGCCATGAGCCATAAATGTTGCCCTAGCATTACTAAACAAAACCCCCGGAGGCCAAGACTACTTCGCAATATCAATAAACGAGTAACGCAAATGCAAGAGAACAACGAGAAAGCGTGGCACTTGAGACCAAAAATATGAATTACAGTCAATAATCAACTCAGGACGAATAGACTGTGCTGTTTATTTTCCGGCCCTCCCTCCCTCCCGGCCCTTCCTCCCTCTCCTTTTTCTCTTGATGCCTTTAATAAAATTTCTCGCACCTTTAGGCATTCCTTTATGCCATTAGCATTTATTTGGATGCTATTAGGTAGGACTAGTGCATCGGCTGTTAATGGAGAAAATAGTCTTTTCTTGTCCATTCCCTCCCATTTATCAATTAAATTTGGGGGTTATTATGGAAAATTCCAAAGTAACCGCTTCCTGTTTAAATCAGTGGTAGGTTTAGCGATTTGCGCCGATGCACCAACGGCCCAACTCGCTCTCGATGATGTGGGAACGTAGCCTTATGACTGATTTTCTGATTGCTAGGGCATGATTTCTGAGGGAGCTTTTCGCCTTTCATTTTGTTGGTATTTTATTCACGAGTTAGAAAATCAATTTAGGGTTACGATTAACATTTTCGAAGTGGTGTCTACTTATGTATTGTATGGGAACAATTGGAATAATTGCTGCACAACTAAGGTGTGATTGGGGAAATCTGGAATTCCGGCTAACTGTGATGAGATTTTCAGGTGGTTTCAGGTGATTTCAGGTGATTTCGGGTCGTTTCAGGTGAATCAGTAGCGTAGCGATGGGGAGGTGTGGTACATGGAATTCGCCGTTGCCAACCCCCGTTATCCACAATCATGTTGCTACAACATCCTTTGTTATTTATCACTAGTGAGTAGAAAAATGCTTTGTATCGTTAATTTATATAAGTTTGTTTAGAAATATAATTGTGTGTCAGTTTAACCTTGTAATCATGGAGTGTGAATCATAAGTTTATTTAATTTGAACTAGCATTTATGCAATGATATAATATCATTGCATAAATGCAGAAGCGCCGAAGGCGCTAGATGTCTAACTCACGGGTACGCTGTGAGGCAAATTTGTTTACTTCCGCCATTTTTAATAGTGGCAAAAAGGAACTTGCTCGATACTGAGCCCTTATAAATTTGGCAAAAGTAAGGATTGATTTCGTTCACTTCTCTTTCGAATATCGATGTGAAATTTGGTGAGTGGCCTTACATTACACGGCACTTAAATTTATGAATTGATGTTATTATTGGAAAAATAAGCCGTCATTCGTAAATTCCAAGCATTTACAGTCGCGGTGCTTGCTGTTTCATTTAAAGCTTCAAGGCACTGGGCACGAAAACTTTTCGGGTTTACCTCAGTGTCCTTGGCAACGCTTAATTAACTATCTTAGCATTGTTATCTAATTTGTTGTATATCTATTGTAATCTTAGAAGTTGAATACCTTATAAACTTGTACGTTTGTTGCTGAATGGAAAAGTTTTGAGTTTGAGTTTGCTGCGGTGTTTTAGGTCTCGTCGAAATACCAGAAAATAATGATTGAAATGTTTTATAACGGATCCAGTGACTATGTTTAGCCACTCAATGTATAATCTTCTTAAAACATTTGTACAAAGATGTGATTTAGTTACTTTTTCTTTCTTTCTTTGCAGAAACTGCTATGAAATATCTAGGCCTAACTCTAGAAAAAACCGAAAGTAGGTCATAATTCAATGCTTGGATATTAATAATAGAATTTAAATATAGTAACCAATTTTTGATTTTAGATAATCATTGATATTTTTGGACTTTTTCAAAACCACACTCGTTGCTTGTAATACTTCTTCAGCACAATGCGTCCCTCCTCGCATTTTTAGGCCTATAAAATACCTCCGGGTTACATTTTCACGACAAAGATTACTAATTTGGTCTTACCAAGAGGAAAAAGAAATTTAAATCATATCAAATTTCTTTTCTACAAATTCAATTTGACAAACTAAATATAAAACATTCGACTTTCATACTCATGCCATATTAGGTTCTGATCGACAGACAGAAAAATTCAAGAATTATATATTTAAAATCGTCTATGTTATTAGATAATAGATCATTTATATGAAGATAAAAATTGCAAGCACATATACTTTTCAGCTCATAAAAACACGACAGGCCACTGCTATATTCCCCCCGTAACTGCCTAAACTAAAAGAGCCATATTTTTTTAAAATTCTGTTTAAAAACCCCAAAAAATTGTTATGTGTTGTTTACTTATAACTCCTCTAACTACCTGCATAAGAAAAGGCACTGAAAGAGTTGTGAGCCACGAGAAAATCATTCATTAAAACAAGCAATTTTCCATACTGAACTCTATTGCAGCTCGCTTTTTGCCACTATTCAAAATGGGGGAAGTAAACAAATTTGCCTCACTCGGTAGAACGCAGCATGACCCGAGTCAGACATCTAGCGCCTTCGGCGCTTCTATACCAATGCATTTATGTCTTTATATATGGAAACGAGGCTAATAAATTATCCAATTGGAGGTGCTTGTGCATTCCTCCCTAAGGGCCTATCTGGGATCGATCCCGCGTAAAAACATAATGTTTTGGGATCGATCCCGTGTAAACACAAGCGAAATTTACCGATCGATCCAACAGTACAGTTGTTTGGAACACTCAATATCAGCGTATTCTGGACATACTTTTTGAGCAATTAATAACACCTCCTGTTATGGCATATCAAAATTTTTTGGACCCTTTTATACTGAATATTGTTGCATCTGAAGTGCGGCTTGGTGCAGTTTTGTACCAACGACAGAATGGGTCTTTAAGAGTAATCGCATACGCATCTCGTACTTTGTCTCCTGCTGAGAAAAACTATTATTTACATTCTGGAAAACGTGAATTTTGGCGTTAAAATGGGCCATATGTGATCAATTTCGCGATTATTTATATTATGCCACCTCTTTTACTGTTTATACTGATAATAATCCTTTGACTTATGTACTCTTATCTGCAAAATTGAATGCTAGTGGATTACGATGGATTAATGAATTGGCTGACTTTAATTTTATGATAAAGTACCGCCCAGGGAAAGCGAATAAAGACGCTGATACCCTTTCCGGGATTCCAATAGATTTTGAGTCTTATATGAACACTTGCACTTAAGAAACTTTGCCAGAAACAAGAATTGCAATAACAGGTGCCGTTAACATGATAGCTAATAGTCAGTCGAATTGGGTAGTACCCCTAACATCCAATGTTGATGTTTTATCCATGGGCAGCACAATTTCTCAGTTAAACTATTGACAAAAATGTTTTAATCCAAGCCCAGCTGAATGATCTTGTTACAAACCGAATCATTCATTTCACACCGGAAAAGACCATCCTCTCAAGAAATTAAGCTAGAATTTTCTGATGTAAAATGCCTTTTGCGTCATTGAAATAAATTCGAGATCAGTGATGGTACTCTTAAACGCAATACCGGTGTGACCAAAAAAATCGTTCTGGCAAAAATACATCAAAATTTGGTAATCAAAGAGCTTCATGCAGAAATGGGTCATTTAGGTACAGACCGGGTCTTAGATCTTGCTAGACAACGTTTCTTCTGACCATGCATGCAAGTAGATAAAGACTATTACATTCAACATGTTTGCAGATGTATCAGACAAAAACGTCCATCTGTCCAGCCGAAAGCTCCATTGCAACCAATTACCACCACATTTCCTTTTGAAATGAATTTCATTGATTTTCTGCATTTAGAACGTAGTAAAGGTGGTTACGAGTACATCTTAGTTATCATGGAAAACTTCACAAGATTTGCTCAAACGTATGCTACAAAGAGCAAATCAGCTAAAACAGCCGCTAAACAACTGTATGACGATGTTATTTTGCGATTTTGCGTCAAAGAGCCGTATCTGAAAACAAGCTGTTTAATAATTTGCAGCAATTATGTAATATAAAATATTCTCGTACGACACCTTACCACCCACAAGGCAATGGACAAGTCGAGCGCTTTAATAGAACTTTACTAGCAATGCTTCGCACCTTACCAGAATCGTATAAAAGTAGTTGGCATGAGCATCTTAATAAAGTCACCAGCGCCTATAATTCTACCCGTAACAACTCGACAGGCTATTCTCCTTTCTTCTTATTATTTGGTCGCCATCCTCGTTTGCCTATTGATATGATTTTCGACACTGGTCAACAGTCAATTGCAAGAAAACATAGCGAGTACGTTGAGCAATGGAAAAACGCAATGGAAGAAGCCTGTGCCATTGCACGAAAACATTCAGTTGCAAGCGGTCAAACAAACAAACTGCGGCATGCTATGAATCCACAAGCAGTCGAATTGCAACCAAATTACCGCGTACTTTTTCGCAATTTATCGGAGAGGGGTGGTCCTGGTAAACTTCTTCCATTCTGGGAAAAAGATATCTACAAGGTGATTAGCAGAAAAGGTACTTCTCCGGTGTACCAGGTTCAGCGTGAGAATGGAACAGGTCCTGTTCGAATTCTTCATCGAAATCTGTTACTGCCTTGTAAAGATCTTCCTGCAGCAGAAGCAGATGACGGCACTCGGGTTCGTCGTGGTGGCCAAACGCGTCATAAACAAATGAAATCTCGACGCAGTCATCAGATTTCTTCTACTACTTCTTCTTCTTCAGAAAGCGATTCAGATGATGACACTTACCTCGTTGCTGTTCACCAACCAATGAAGGAAAGGGAACCTGCAGACATGTTCGAAGAATGTACATCAAACGACAATAGACAGCAAAGTGAAGATGCCTGTGTGACACAACACACGGTCGAGTCCGAAGAAACTATCGATATTGTAGAACATGCGGATGTACCAGAAACCTCTAGCGCCGTTGATGTTCCACACCTCGCGCCAGAGCCTTATCGTCGTCCAACGCGTAATCGCCAACCGCCAAATCGTTTCGGATATTATGCCCCTGGACAATCTCTTTCAGCTCAAACTGTAAAAAATGTAAATAGTCAACCAGAATACAAAATCGTTTGTATACCATCGTTTCCGTTTACCGTTGCGTCAATGCCTTGGACTATGCAATCGGTTCGTTCGCAGTCGTTTCCGAAAATCACATTTTATTAACAGATTGTTTAACGATGATAACACTTACTTTATTTCATTACATTTCATACTGTTTTTATGCAACATTCGTATCGAACTACGCAAAATAATTCAATAGAACAGTACTGGTCAAAATAGCTTTGTCTGCTCGTTCTCAGCTACTTCGGTTATCGTGATTGCGTCAGATTGCGTTGATTGGGTACAAATTGGCCATTTGAACCATAAACATTCGCATGTGACGTAAAAGAAACATTGACTTTCCATAATTTGTTTTGTTTGTTCTTTTACTTTGAATTCTAGGGTGCTGGGATCCACATGGATCAAACAAAATTTCAAACAAGAACAATAGACTTTGCCGTTATTTACTTTAAAGTTTCAGATTTACGAAGTGCAGCTTCAGGTTGATCATATTTGGAAGAACTTTCAGAGCTTTATGCCTATGAAGACTACGAAGTCTGATGTTATCATGTCGCGGACGACATTATCTTTAGAGGGGGAATATGTAGTACATGGAATTGGCCGTTGCCAACCCCCGTTATAGACAATCCTGTTGCTACAACATAACCTCTTTTATCTCTGCTATTAATCACTACATATGGGGTAAAACATTACCCTATAAAAACCAAGGGTTACATGTGCAAGGACGGATTTAAGCAACAATGATTAGGGGTGTACACACTAATTGGATTTTGGTGCCACATCCTCAGGTTACTAGTGAATTATGGAAACGCCCATTTTTAAAATCCGGTTTTTAACTTTAAGGTAAAGAAGATAAGAAGATGGACAAATTCAAATATTTGGCGTCGTTTTGTTACTACTGACTAACGAAAAAGGATTTTTAACCGAACGGAAGCAAAATTTACCAAGAGACACAGAATTATTGTGGGGGAGGGGAGAGAAATATAGCAAAAACTCTGGTCTAGAGCAATGTTCTTTGTTCACAAAGGCCCTCAATGAGAACTTGAAAAAAACATTTGTTATTAGCACGTGACCCAAATAAGGGGCAAGTTATCTCACGATGACAGACGCAGACGGTTTTGAATTAACGTCTGTTTGGGCCAAAAAGCCAAGATTTGAAAAGTTATTAAAGAAAACCGAAGAGAGGTTTTGGGAAAATCAGATTTTGCCAAAATTCGGGGCGCTAAAGATGTTCTCAAATTACTTGTAACCTTTTGCAAACTATGAACATCAGTGTAGCAGACCAAGGTCTATCGATTGAACTTAAAATAATTTTTTGTCAATATCCTGTGGTAAGTTATTAGGGACGTGTCATAAAGTATCTACGAGAGGGCGGAGGGGAGAAGATGTGGCTTTATCCAAAAAAATTTCAAAGCCCCTATAAAAAGGGACAGAAAATTTCCATGGCCCATTGTGAAAGGGCATATGTTTTTTGCGCCCCATGTCAAAACTTCATGGTTTATTTTTCAGCGTGCTGATAGCATTTAGTTATATAGATGTTTTATTTTGTTTTCATGTTTTCGTCATGACACTAAAATTGTTGCTTTAAATTTCTTGAACCATTATTTACACTAATTCACGCTGGTCTATTGTCACTAAATATGTATCTAAATGAAACGAACTCTGTTTTAGTTTGTGGTACTCTGTTGTAGAAACGACCACCTTTTGTTTTTATGAAGATACTCTCAGGAGCAAAGTCATCATTATTTTCACTTTCACCATTACTGTCTTCATCTCCCTATTCACTGACACCATCGTTACTGACTGTGGCAGGAATCACAATGGCCTTTCCTTGAAAAAGAAATTCCCTGAATCGATTGCAAAGAGCTCAGAAACAAAGAGCAGAAATACCAGGCCAGCAAAAACAAGTAACATCTGATCTTAAATATTTTGTAAAAAAGGTGCTTTCAACAAAAATCAAAAACAGTTTTAATAGAATTCATAATTGCGTCTAGATTTTCTTTCTTAGTAGAAATGAATTATCGATACAATCAAATTTCTTGATTTTACTTTTACAGAACAAATCTGCCCATTCTTTTTTTCTGATGTCCTCAAAAATTTTCTTTCCGTCAGTTTCTTTCCCTTCCACATCGCTAGGGATTTCTCTCTTTTTGCAGTGTTCCTGAGAAATTTGTTGTTAACAAATAGACCTTGTGAGCCACGTTTAGGCAATAGAAAAAACGAAACTCTGTCAATTTGTGCTGGCACCAAGTTATTCTGGATCAGGTTTCTCGATCTATATCCTAAGCCACGCTGTTTCTCGTTGTACAACTTAGACAATGACCGATTTCTTTGATCTTATTTCCCATATTCAAATTTAAATATGTCTTCTATGGTAAAGACATAGCAACCAAGCTAAATCTAAAGGCATTTGTAAGGGATTACTAAGCACAGTTACTTACAGAATGAGTGTTTGTGAAAAGGCTATTGGACAACCTAGGAAGTCTGAAAGCAAGTCAATCAGTTTTGCATATGGAGAGGAAGAAGGCAAAAGAGGAAAAGGATAAAAGTAAACAGAGAACATCATTTTCATGCTTTCAGAGAAAAATGGAAGCACCCCAGGAAAGTTCAAGCAGTTTTGAAAGTTCATCTTCAGATTCTGACTGTTTCTAACCATATTTGAACTTTTCTTTTGCAGTCAATGACAGCATCATATAACCGGAGGGTTGTTTTCACCAATCGCACATTTTGTCTCAGTTTCGGAGGCTTTTATATTAGCTGGAATTTATTTTTGTACATGAAAATTGAAGTAAAACTGTGGAATTTGTAATTTTTGAAACTCGAATAAGTCTTATAGATGAAAAAATTAAAAAGTTATCAAAGGAAAACCAGAGGGTAGTTTGCTAATACTAATAATATATCTCGCCAAATCTCCGTTTACCACAAACACAGAATTGCCAGGAAATAGTACCAGTATAGTACCACAGGCTAATTTTCACTTAAGTTTGAAAAAGTCCAGCCAATCTCTCGATTTCTATCTGGCCTTTTGCTTTGCTTTTTAGAATTTGTTCCATTCCTGGAAGGTGTCGTTTGAATTTTTCGCATTTCCATAAATGTTCTAAGTTTTCTTCATGTAATCCACACCTTCTGTGACTTATATTATCATATTTTCCTTTGTAATTAGTTTTTAAATCGGTCATGTTTAGTTTCAATTTTAGTAGCATTGGTCCCTTTTTATGTTTTATATATTCTTTTATTCCAAAATTGCCTTTCTTAATGAACCTCATCTTTGCTTTATCGCTATTCTTAACTTGCTGCTCTATCTTCTTTATGATTTTGCTTTTTACTATTTTGTTCCAATCTTTCCTTGATCGATCTGAAATTTGATCAAGTTATTCATTATTTCATAATATCGTCAGAGCGATGAGCGACAAATAAATTGTGTTGTTGCTGTTGTTAGAATAGCGGGAATCTATGGATGATAGAAGAGACAGAGAAATCGAGCTGAAACTACCAAGGAATAGTGAGATTGATGTAAGTCTTGAATAAACAGATAAACTTTCCATTATACAGACCAAGTCTTACAATGATAGGTCGCTCTTATTTCATGGAGTCGAGTGATTATAGAAGTAAATCTCTGCATACAATGGGAATGGGCCTTTTACGAAGAATACGCGAAGAAGAAGTTATTCGTTTCATTTTGTTTATTTTCTCTGTTGTTCGTTTCATTATTAATGTTTTGGCATAAAAGTAAGCTTGAAATATGAAATACAAGTAAAACACAAGCATTTATAATATGATACATAATATGTTGACAGTGTTCATCCGAAAACGGAGTAAACAAACAGGCCTAGTTTGGCCGGCTGTTTGCTATTTGTTTAGCTATTTGCTATTTAGCTTTTTTTGATCAGTTTTCATGAAAAATGATAAAAAATTAATTTCGTTTTTATATTTAGCTATCCATTGCCTTGATTACTGGAGTTAATGTCTTGAATTCCTGCGATTTTTCTTCTTAAGGTATTCGACAAAGAAATATGTATGAAGTACATGCTCACCCAATTCTTCAAAGGTACAAAGCTCATGTATGCTCTGGAGCAACAGTTTTTAACATCGCTACACTTGCTCTAACGTACATCCTTCCACTTCTGGTGGCATACTTTAGCCAAGGTTTGGTGTACATTTTTCTTATTATGTCATATCCCAACTACAGTTGCTAAAATTGTTTACTTATATTTACAGAATTTGGAAATGTCTTATCCAATTGGAACTTGTTTGGCTTTTTTGAATAGAATATTGATTTTAATATGTTAAATCCTTGAATAAGCCTCTAGGAGTGGTGCTTTTTCAATGGTGTGGCCTTGTTGGTAATATTGAGGATAAGAATTCTTATACCAGCTATTCTTTGTTGAATTTCAAGGGTCTTCAAGATTAGAGAAGCTTGACAAATTTGTATAAATTATCAAGAGCAAGTAAGAGACCTCCTTTGTTAAGAAATAAAAACTTTCTGAAAAAGAAATTTAATTCTTTATTTTGGCAAACCAATGAGCGAGGCACCACACTTCCTTTAAGACTGTCTTAATATTTTCGTAATGACCAGAGTATGGAATTATCTGGTGAAATTCATGTTGAAGTAGCTGGCCACCTTTAAAAGCTCACAAATAATTCAAAAAAGATCCATTGGGACCTACACAAGTTATGAAACAAAACTATAGGTTTCCAAGGCTGGTCATCAAGCCTCATAGAACACTTTGTGTCTTATTATATCTATTGCATATCTTGCATATATTTATATCTAGAGGGAGACAGTAATCTGACCTGGACTGCTGGTATAACCCCTTGAATAGAAGCTAGATACAAAAAGTAGGATCTCAGAATGTTGTGAGAAGGTTCTAAAGAGGGCAGTGATTAGAAAAGAGGCATAAGAGAAGGAAAAATTTTTCCCTTGCTCTCCATTGGGCCTGCCCCCCCCCCCCCAATCAGCGATGTCATCAGAAAATTCCAGGGCTTCATCGGATAATTGACAACCGTTTAACGTGTCAACATTACTCCAAGTAATCGTCCTGAAAAGGAATTTTAAGCTAATTTAAGGGGTGTAATTGCCAAATTTTCATATTTAAGTATTTTTTTAAAGAAATTCCTTTACATTTTTATCAAGACTTTTATTAGACTTTGTGTTTTATAAGGATTTTGGTTAAAAGAGAGCACATACAGAGAGCAACCAGATGTTCATTTTAAACATCAAATGTTGATACTAGCTCATGGGACTGATGCTAACACACTCATCACTTACAGCACTTTTCAGAATTACAACAATTTGATGTCCAACCATGTTAGAATCCCATTCATTCAGGTTTGTTGTGATTCTGCTACTGGGCTGTAAAACTGTCACATTATCCAATACAGTTAGTATATCCAATACAATTTATGCTTACCCTGTCTACACTGGCATCCAGAAGAGCAGCAGCTAGGTGCTAAAAACTGGTATCTAGTTTCTCCAAACTTGCTACTTATGAATACTTTTGATAATCATTTAGATTAACAAAGATTAATTTTGTTAAAAGTTTTACTGAGATTTTGATGGGCAAGATCAATTGTAAAGGTTCACTTGCTCTTCAAACCCTTTTTGGAACTTTGTGAAGTTTTAGTTGTGTCAAATTTGAAAAACTTTTGGCTTTTTTAAAAAAGAATTAATATACTTTTGTTACTAAGAAATCAATAGTCAGTTTTTGTTTTGTTTCTTACAGTCATATGAAGTAGATGACAACCGCGATGGGAAAAATGACAAGCTTAATTTTGAAATTCAAGTGCCAATCAAGGGAGCAGAAAACATCCATTCTATACAGATCTTGCTATTCTTCGATTACAAACTACATGTAGGTATTCACAAGTTTAAGCTTGACAATTTCAAAGATAGCTTTGAACCAATATTGCTACCTCTTGAAATTGGTAGCCAAAGTAGTTCACTATATAAGATTTCTACATTTACATTCACAAAGTATTTGGATAGCTTAGATTAAAGAACTCCCATGTGTACTTCTCAAGGCCTAAATAATTTTTATGGTTTTTATTTTTACAATTTTTTGGCATGCTTAAGGCTTTGAAGCTTCAACAATATCTTGTGGAAATTTCATTGAAATTGTTGCCATTCTTTTTAATGACAAAAGATTTTTAGAAAATTTTTAAAAGTTTAGTACATCAAATGTCTTCGAAATTTTGAAGTTGTCAGAATTATTTTTGGAAGTAAGTGTGGTTGTGAGTGATCTAGAATTTTAAAATGTAATACAGAAAATCAAAGTATATTTTTAATGTTTTAAACTTTTATTGATGCCTGCGACACAGCTATATAACATTATGAATATAGTATTGATACCAGTTTGAGTTTTAAATTTCTGATGGTGCTCTTAGCCAGTCATATTTAGAAAAGCTAGTTTTAGAAATTAGACTAGATTAAGTGAGGTTGATCAGTTCACTTTCTCTTGCTTTTCCTCCTTCCTTTTTCGCTGCTCCGAAATTACATAAACAATGTGTGGTAGGGACAAATGCTGCATGTTTTACTTTGAAGATAATATTATTTTGTTATATCTGCTTATTGATTTTATGTTTGTTTTAGAGATTTGCTTCTGTTCAGATGGAATCAATGGCATATGTGCATTATAGCTCTCCTCTTTCTGGTGCAGAATTTTCAACTGAAGGTGATCTAGCGCTGAAACAGAATTTTCCTCTACCCCACAACAGTGTTTACACTGTATATAATGTAAGTTTGTTAATGAAAATACCTTTCCAATTAAAGCTCTACCAACCTGATTGGTAGTGCACTTTCAAATGCATTTTTATTAGATGACGGTGTGTTCTTGGTTGCCAATTCTAGCTACTTACAAGAAGAGCTGTATTGTGTAAGCTATGAAGGTGCTCCATCTTGCTTGCAGCCCGTGTAGTAACAGTAAGTTCTTAAAGGCTGCCCACCTGAGTCATGAGGTGCATCTATGATAAAAAACGTTTTCTATTGACTGCAATGATTATTTCTTGATGTAAGCACTTTTGTTACAAAGGTTAAAACCGGGAACTAATCACATGTACCAATCCTGCTCTCAAGGTATTTTCGATTTCCACCCAAACTTCCATTCGTTCTTAATGTCGCAGATGAGACTTTCACTAAAAAAGTTCAACGAAAAAACACCCCTACCGTAAATCCTCGAATTGACCCCCCTCGAATAAGCCCTACCCTAGAACTACAAATAGTCAATAAGCCCCCCCCCCTCGCTTAACCCCACACTGCTACCATACCTAGCCCCCACTGCGAATTTGCCCCCTCTCGATTTGTTGTTTTTTGCCATCTGAGCTTGCCGTTGGCGTTTTATTGAATTACTACAAAAATGCGAGGATTTACGGTACATAGCAAAAAAATCCTCGTTTTAAGATGATGTTTTTAAAGGGTGGTTGCACAACATTGCTCATAATTAGATTTTACAGTAGCTCGGCCTCAGCTTGTTCTCAATTTGTGCTTAAGATTTGACCAATTTTGAGGAACGTGCTCTTAAAGAATTGTTCTTATAAAAAGGAGTGCCTGTAATCGTCGGTAAATTTCACTCTCACTCCTCTAATCTGGACAGTCAAGTTACGCCACTGATCTGATTTAACGGGACCCAACTGCACTCAGGTAGCCAGTAGAAAATAATAAATGGCTTTTATTGGAAGTTAATCAAATTGAATTGAATAGAGCAGATCCGTCTTGTAGTATCAGACCTCGGCCTAAACCGCAGTTCGAAATTTATTTAAAGGCAGGCAATACTTGGCGTCATTTATAATGTCTTTGTTAACAGCTCCTCAATTATAGTTTTAGTTGATTTATGAATTGATTTTTAATGCACTATGTTCTTCATAATTTGGCTATTATAATTTTCCTTAGGTACCGATCGTGAAAAACAGCAGCATGTCCATCGAGGACTATGAGTTGAGAAGAATTTTCACATCCTATAAATCAAGAAATAGTGAGTAACCAACTATTCGATTAAAACTTAGCATAATATTTTAGAGATGGGAAATTATCATATTCCATCTATTTACATTGTTGCAGCTAATGCTTTGATAATGTATGTTTGTAAATTTCTTTTTGTCACAACCTTTTTATCTATTTTATAGCAAATGTACTTAAATTCTTTTCCCTTTCTTGAATGTTCCATTTTTATCAAACCAAAGTTTTTTGATATGATTTCTACTTTAGTTTGAAGTCAGATTTCGATTAGCCATGCTTCAGATTCGTTTTTACAAATAGATTGAATTATTAATTTTCTAATTACTGCCGCACCTAAAGTCTTTTATATGTGTGATTTTCTCTGAGAATTTCAGTAAATCCTTAATGGCCGCCAAAAAATATTTCTAAATATGCGAAAACAGTGAATTATTTTGCTTATTTGCTGAAATATATAGTTTTCTAACGGATTACTGCTGTTTCAGTGTAGTTCATAAATTTTAGAACCAAGACCAAACTAGACTGTTTCGAAAGAGAACAAGCTTACTATCACTATCTGGGCCTATTTTGGGTCTATAATATCGATTTTTCACTAATTAAACTTTAGTATAAGGTTCTTTTAGATTATCTGTTATCTAAAACCATTTGCCCCCTTCAGTTTCAACAGACTACATTTCGAACTATCCCGTATGGAAGGCTGGACGAAATGCAGAATCACAGTTTGTTATCAAGGGAATAATTCACTATCCCGAAGAGACTATATTGTATCCTTTTCTACTGCGTCGTTAATTATGCTGTCACTTCTAATTATGCTTTTATGTTAGGCCAAGATGGCTTGTATACATAAATACATATCAAGGGGAATTGAAGCCAGGCGAAATGGAAAGTATCCCCTCCATGGAAAATGTTGCTTTACTCCACTTTGTTCAACCATCTTCATCCGGTTTGAATTATTACCCGAGAACATCATTGTATTATCTTCTCAATTTTTCATTTGAGAATAGCACGTTACTACAAGGTTACAATTTTGATGGCCAAAAAAATTACGTTAATCTTAATTTTAACAACAAGTTCTGAACGTTAATCAACATTTTGTGTACGAGATTAGATGTGTACAAGATGCAACAACATGTGACCAAGGAATAGGGACAGGCTAATTGTGGTTTTACAAAAGTTGCATTTGGATAAAATTTATAAAAGAGCAAAGGATGGCCGAAATTTTTTAACTATCTTTGAACAATGAAATTCTTTGTCAAATAATATAGCCAAAAGTCTGAGCATACTACAAAGGCGTCTGACTTTGTATAAACCAGTTGACTTACATATAGCTTAGTTTAAGCCAATCAAATCGCAGTATAATAAAATTTATGTCAGCATTTCGTCAGCAGTTTTTCGGTCTTGCTCATCACTACAGACCCTTTCTTTTAACAGCCTCTTCTTTTTTTCAGGCAATATCAACATTCATTGCATTTGTAGGAAAGCATTTTCAATTTGCAATTTTTAAATGCCTTTCCATCAAAAAAATGTTTCCTTAACCTTCATCAGATACCGCCCTGGCTTTTGGCAACTCATTAAAGTGGCTTGGATCCAGTATCTGGCGGTGCTTTTCATTTTCCTGTTTGTGTTTGGCGCAGTACGAAGACTTATTTTTGAAAACCAGATCGTACTCACAGTGCCACAGAAAGTCAGCGTTCGAACTTTTCAAAGCTGATCCTGTTCAAGCTTGACTTCTGATTTCTCGTAGAGTTATCGCACTTCACAAATTGGAAAGAATCGCCAACCAGTCTGGGGATTGTGTGTCGTGGATTTTCCAAGGGTCTCCAGGCATCTTCTTATATGGTTGTGTTTTTTTCTAGGCCTTATCTCTTCCACAATTTGGACGTATTTTGCTCACTTTCTCGGTCATAAAAAACTCCTCTATAACAAACTTAAGTTTCTAATACCGAATTATTCTAAAGTAAGTGCCTTCTGTCGAATCTTATCGGTGATACTGCCTGGAGGTCAGCGAGGTCATTGAAGTCTGCTATAGTTTATGTTAAAAATGGTTCGTTTTAGTTTAATCATATTTATGTTTGGCTAGAGATATTAACAAGGAGCATTGCGGATGTTATACAAGCAAGTTTTAAACTGAAATAGAACAGAACGGCAGCTTATTGAAAAGATACAGTGAAAAGAAGGACGCTATAAACGATGTGCATAGTGGGTAGACAGTTTCTGCTGGGATGTTTTAACTCCCAATAACAATGAGATGTTATGACAGTCTTAATGTTAGAGGCTCTTGCGCAACCGGCATGCCTAGCGGCAGCTGTCTTAAGAAGTTAATTGTGTTTTGCATTTGCATACAGTACGAAATTAGGCCAGTTTTGAAAATATAGTCGCAAAGCATGCCGGTTGCACAAGAGCCTTTAAGTACGTGTGTTCCTGGTTTCCAATTAGTTATCTGTTGCGTCCGACCGTATTCTAGCTGTGCTACTACGTTTTAAAGTGATCATCGTAGTTAATGGATGTTTCCAAAATCAGTTTGATTTTTCGTCGTTGTCATCTTATTGAAAATTTGCATGAACTTTGCAACCGGTTGCATTCTTGACCTCGATGCTGAAAAATTCTAAACTTTTAATCTCGTTCAAGCAGGTGGTTAACCTTAAATTAGCTATGGAAATTTATCTGCCAGCAAAAAATCGGATTTCCTTTGCAATTTTCCCGCTAGGAAGATAAAATTTCATCTTGGTAATTTTTAACTTATGGTGTGTTTAATGACTCTTCCGAATTCATTATATCGACATCTGCTTTTTGTTTTAATGCTGCCGCTGACTGCTCGCAAGGCATCATGGTTATCCTCTAAAGGCAACGTCGTGCGCGAAAAGACCTTTGGTTGCCCGGAAATTTACTGTCCGCGTACTGCGTGAATATAATTGAATGGTTCAGTATATTTTCATGCCGTTTGATCTCCCTGTTATCCCTTCAGTGAATGTATTGGACAATCAGGAGGCGTTTCAGACAAGATAGCTTCGGGCTTAATGTTTGCTGACGCTAAAGGGAGCTCGATCAAATATATATATTTATCCTATCTCCACGACACAAACTCGATTACTCAATTAAGATGGTGAGAGGCGCGCAAATAGTAGATCTGTCTCTGTTGCAATAATCTCTGCAAGGACTGTAGTTAATATTCTCTGTGAAAGCATTAAAATATTCAAGCAAATATTAGTGAATTTCCAAGCAAACAGTTAGGCAGAAATTCGATTTATAACCAAAATTGAGAATCAAGGGAGACGTAATAGATAATATTTATGTTGAATCTGAAACAGCTGGGAGGAGGATTTAATCTGAAAGCTGCTTAAAGAAAACATATTATTAAATAATCATAACAATAAATATTTCATAAGAAGGAAATTTATAGTTTTTGAAATGAAATTGGCTTGTTTTTTGACCCGCGTCCTCATCATGTTTAAAGATTTCAGATGTTTAAGAGACTCGACCTTTCCAACTAAATTGCCACAAAGCCTGGCTCCATTCATTTATCTTGTGCACAAATCATTAGAGAAGCAATTTGCAGATAGCTCCTAATCCAAGGAGGGTTTTACTTGTCAGAAAAAGAGTGCTTGCAAAGATTTAGCGATGTCAACATATTTTTTGCGAATGGCTCTTAAATACCATCATTAAAACCTAGATTTCGCTGTTTAAATTTGTAAGTAGTGTTCATATAAGCGCTTATGCTATATGCTGCTTTATTACCTTGCGTTGCAAGCAATGTCTGGATATGCATCATATCAAACGGTTTTCAAACCATCATTACATTCCCGAAAAACACCTTCTAATCAGGGTGATCTTTGTAACCTGTACAGTTTCATTAGACACGAATATTAATCAACCAATGTGAAACGTAAAATTTCATCTCCAGAACGCAAATGTTCATTAAAAGTACGAAAATTGTTGACATTGGAGAACAATGGCCTGCTTCAGTCGAGGGATTAAAAACAAATCTAAGCTTGCTTCTGTAGCTCGTCAACAATGTGTTTAACTGAGCTAGGTCATTAGTCCTTTTTCATTAGTTCTTCATTTTTTCAAGAGATCTTCGTCGTAATTGTATACCATTAATTGGAAATCCTGAACAACATGCGCTTATATTAGGTAGATTGTTCAAGCCTATCGTCAGGTTAAACAAGTACAAGGAAGATTTCTGTTTTGCCATTTAACGTGCAAATGACATCAAGATGGCTTCAAAACTTACCTATCGGTGTTTCTTCTACGTTCCACACAGAATAATGGTTTTGTAATAGTTATTTAGTCAATATGTTAAGAGAAGATTTTGGTCATAAAAACATTCGTTTGTGCGTTTTAAAATGTACTCAATATACAAATAAAGATAATTCGACCAGCTGACTTAATCAAACATAGTTTTTATTGTTCTAAATTTTCCTTATATTGTTTTTACATTTTCATTTAATATTTTATTCAAATTTACACAAATTCATATGACCATGAAGGTGTTGCTCTCCGCTTAAACGTTGCGTTACCTTGCGAACGGAGTGATCAACATTTCTAGTTTTGCTAAAGTAATAAAAAACGACGATTTGAATATTCCTGCCTTAATCGGTTTTTAAAAACGATTCTGATAGCAGTAAAACTGAATAGTGCCTCCAGTACTCTTCCGTGCTTATTCGTAAGGGGTTGAAATCGGCAGGGGGTGGGTATTTTTCATAAATTTAGTAAAATGGGGGGGAGGGCAAAACAAAATGAGCTGGTGGGAAGATTTATTGGGTAGCAGAATATGGGAATAGCAGCCCAAGAGTTAATATTGAAGTAACTGTGTTTATCAGCTTACCATTGCATTTTGTTTCTGGTTGATTGTCTTTTTTTGATGTTTCAGTCACTAATATGAATATGAGAGGGTGATAATTAAATAGGGTGAGGTCTTTGTCATAATTTTCTTAATCTGGGGGTTCATTATAAAATGCTATTGAGGGGAAAAATCACAAATCATGCAATTTTACCCCCCCCCCCCCCCTCCCTATAATTAGGCACGGAAGAGTACCTCACCTCAGAGGAGATAGAGATCAGTGCCTCAAAAAAATTCTGGTACAAATGATGCAGTAAATGAATAAGGACAACATTTGTCTAAGTTTGCAAAATACTGGCAAGGTATCAATGAACTCCTGAATAGGCATCTACCAATGCCAGAGATGAATAGTACATGCCGACGCCGGCAGACACACTGCCGAAAGCAATAATTGCAGTGTCGAGAAAAAATTCATATTTCTTCATTTCATTTTGTTGTAACTTCATGTGAAAAAGGCACGGGAAAATGAAAGATAAACACATTCCTGTGAAACTGCCCACCAGTGCCATGTACAGTCCAAAATGGGGAATTGCTATGGCAACAGCCAAAGCCACCGTGATTAGAGACAAACGCACTAAAGCTCTCTTCCATCTACTTGGCTTCTCTTCATCAATTCTCTTCTCTTTAATCAATGACTTTTTATCTGTCATTTCTTCTTCGTCATCAAAGTCCTCATCATCGTCCTCAATCCCTGTTTCGTCCCAGGTCCCCTTTTCCTTCAATCTTTTTATCTTGCGTATCAGCCAATCACGTGACCTTTTCAGGGTGATTTTATCAATAATAACAAAAACAGTGTAGGCTGGAAATGTGAACGAGGCCAGGGCCAGCACAAGGACACCCATGTTTACTGTTGTCTTGAATAGACCATGTGGCAAGTTGTTGGTGATGACCTGTTGTGTTTCGCCCTTAAAGGTGAGATAACCAATTATGCCGAAGACAATCTTGACCATTGTTATGGCAAAATAAGTGATGTTCATCACAGTGCTGTATTTTCGTGGGTGACGCATGCTGCCATGTATTGCTGGCATGTAAGGCTGCGATGAGTAACTGACTACAACGATACCCATTCCAATGAAGAACTTTCCCATCTCAAACGGAGGTGTTTCGTGCACGCTCCATCTACTTGCGTGGTAAAAGCTGTATGCCGCGACAACGATGTACACTAGTTGGCCAACAAGAACAGTTACAAGGCTCACCCATGCAACCTGGCCTAGATTCACCATGAAAGCATTTGGGATCACAAGAACAAATGCCAGCATAGACCAATGCATTTTGTTAAAGCCAGAATCTGGGAAACTGTTGTGCAGAATTGACCCGCACAATATCAGAAGTAACGTGCAGTAGGAGAGCTGTTCGACTATCATGGCAACGTACACCATCCATCTGCCGAACGCTCCTGCAAAGGCCTCACCAATTTCTTCATAACCTTCTCTCATCCGTACAAGCAGCCCAGTTTCCGGGTCTTTCTCGTAAAGGCATTTGATTAATTTTTTGCTCGTATAATTTGACGTAGCCGCAACCGTAGCAGTTGCAATCAAACTCAGGTAGCCACCGCATAGAACAACAAACGGCATGGTTAAAATCACAACGCCCTGGTTTGCGTTGAAAATGTTCCAAAATGTCTGCAAATTCGAAACTTTTGCTGTCTCAGGCATTTCTTCAAGATCTTCTTTTTTGAATAAGGTTTCTTCTTCATCAGTTGAATCGCCTTTGTCTCGCAGGACATTAACCATATCAGTGAATCCATTGCGAAAATTTTCGAAAACAGTTGCTGAATACCACATGATTGAATCTGCGTCGTGCTTAGGCACTCTTTGCTATTCATTAAATTTGTCAACTCACAAATGTTTCAATCACAATCACTCATGCCAATAAATCTGTCTTTAAAAATCTACATCATAAAGGATTATCGCCTCTTGATTAAACAGCCTTCAGGTTTTCCCAGAGCATCTGTCAATGAGCTTCAAGCCCAACCAATTGCTTTTTGTTTCACTGGTCACAAGCAGTAAACACCTGGAGAAGAAGATTCATTAATTTATGAGACTGTGTTTTCCTTCTTATTCGTTAAGATTCAAAGTGGATTACGAATCCACGCCCGGGCAGTAATGCGACAAGTTCTGGTTGAAATTAAGGGCCCGTTCACACTACTCCGTTTTCAAATGAAACGGAGTCGTTTGAAAACGCTAATGAAAACGGATACGTTCGAATACGGTGCGTATTGAAAACGCTCCGTTTTCACTGTGAACGCCAAAGACGGAGACATTTGAATACGCTAACAACGGCAACAAATTACGTGCTTTGTAGCACACCAAATCTAAAAAATTTTGAAATTGAGAATTCACAATGGACTGGTAGCTGTTACAACAAAGTTTTTCACGATTTACTTTTATTTAATTTCTTTTATAATGACGCTAATTTGTTGAGGATTTGTGAATGCCTCTTTCCAAAAATGAGGCCACCAACAGCGTTGGAGTAGTGTGAACACCTATCGTATTTACAGCGTATTCATATGAAAACGGATTAGTGTGAACGGACATCGTTTTCATCAACGAAAACGGAGCGAAACGAATACGGAGTAGTGTGAACGTAGCCTAAGACAGTGACAAATTGCGAAAGAGATCTGAAAAACTTTATTTGAAAAAGAATAATTGCGATCTATCTATTTAAGTCTTTTGATAATTAAAGAATAGATTGCCCACCTACTGCAATCATGTACTTACTCTCAATTTAACACTCCATTTGCAGCTGCTGATTAAAATATGATAAGGTAGATAGGCACAGGATAGCAGATAAGAAAGATATTTAGTTGCCATCAAAATGAAAGTCTGAAATGCCACTTCTCTATAGATCATTCACATTCGAAACTGATCTGGCTTATTTGCGAATTTCACATTTTGGTGTCTTTGAAACAACAATGCAATTCTAGCCGTACCTAAAGACCTAAATTCCATGAAGATCTCCAAAGAAAACAGGTTTTGCCAAGAACAAATGCATTGCAGTACCAAGAGGTTTAGAAATTTGATATAACTACAATGTAGGCTACGTGCCGATACCTGATGTATTTCGCTTCAAGTTTCATAAATGGGGTCAAAAATGAAAAAGCATTCAATACTTATTTGAAAGTAACCGAAATATGAACGGGTAATGTATCACAACTTTAGCTATCTCAATTATCGTTATTTATAATTCACCACAGAAGTTCTATGATGATTCCCAGTATAGAATAATTACAGACAAAATTTGATGCAATTTTATGGCATAGGGAATGAAAGAAATACATTTTTCGTTGCCGATTCATTTGATTTAAATAGGTTACTCTAACTGTCAGCATAATCAGTGATTTTTACGAAATAAACACACGCAAGACCTTTAGCGAATCAAATTAGTTTCCTTAATTTAGAAGAAATGTTTCGATTGCTTGTTCAACAATAACTATCTGCGACTCAACTGTAAGGACTACATAAAGTTGTACACGAAACCTTATTCAAGTTTAATCTTTTTTAATGAAGCTGTGGCCCCATGCCTCTTTTAGCGCCATCACTGAAGATAAATCACACGGGGTTATATAATGCTAAAGAGTAAAAGTCGAAGAGCAAAATTCCTTTTTTTAATGCGCCTTTTTGCCAATAAGATGCTAAAAAACAATTCATTGGTGATTTTTATTTATTCTGCAATTGGTGATAAAAAAGGTCATGCGATTTTCCAGTCATTCAAAAAATCACCATAATTTAACTTTTTCGACTTAATTAAAAAACAATAAACTAATCGTTGAAGTTTAAGATTCTCTTTTTTTAACTTTTCTTGATTTTTCTAATTTTTCTACTCACTTTCCTTGCCTTCTTCAGCAGGAAATACATTTGAAAAGAATTTTTTTAGGCAGAATTCGATAGAAAGTTTGGCTAATCTTCAAGCTGTATTCAGCATTCAAAAATGTTTAAGATTGTAAGAAATGTGTTAAACTTCCTCGCCATGACTCTAAGAACCTGTTTAATCACTGCACACTATTCCCGTTTATCAGAGCACGAGACAATTTTATCACTGCACAGATTGGTTATGAATAAGACAATCACATACAAAGACCCGTCAACAGATCTTACAATACGACACTTGCGCGTTGCACAGAGGTTTGACGCTTGCTCATTCCCCTGCCATGTGCGCCAGATGCTCATCGCTGCGCAACGCTATAAGCGAAATCAACAGGCCGCATGCCACTTAAGTGCACGGGTGAATTAAGGGTTAGCGGAAGCAATTACCCCTGCAGCGCTTCAACATCACTTTCTTCTATTGGGCGTTTATCACACGCCCGCGTCCTTTTTTTGGCTCCTTTTACGTTTCTTTTAATTGTCATAATCTACCATGTTTGTTAAATTCTGCAAATGACTTAGCTTAAGTCCTTCAATAGCTTGATTAATTTTCCATAATATTTTGAATTAAGTGCAATCAAATATGAAAATGCATATTGTGCTGAAAAAGTAATTGAGATCTTCGGAATGCAAATATAAATATTTAGGTTTTTAAGTCTGGAAATATGCAATAACTTTGGTTCCCAGTATGAAATATAAAACAACAAAATAACTGAATGCCTTCTTAAATGTTGTGGGAGAATTTTCTACTTGATAACAGCATTGACGTCTTATACATTCCAAAAAGTTACATAACAAGTTACTGCAATACCTTAACTACACGCTACTTAACATACACTACAAAGACGATACCCCGGGGAGCATTAACTCTGTCTACCCCGAGGCCATAACATAGAGAGAAAAAATATGCACGTTTGTAATTACAAATACTTGAAGATATTTGATCTCAACTCTGTAGACCTGTTAAGATACCAGCCATATTACACCCTGGGTTGTTCTTTTAATCTTTTCAATCTTTCTAGGGGTTTAAAAGGCTTTTCATACTTTACTTTTATACTTTTATAGGAGAAATACCAATAGCATAAAATCAACCGCAAATACTTTTTGCTTATATTATCTCATCGAAATAGACGAGAACATCAAATAATATCATAAACATGTTTTTATCTATTGCTTGTTCTACATATATTTACTAGGAATTCTTCCTAAGACCACTAAACCACTGTTTTGCAAGCCATTTAAGATGCAGGATTGATTTGCTGATAATTATATTCAGAAAGATATTGTTCGTTCTTCAATTTTTTTATCTAGAGCTAACATGTTCACCCAAAAGTTATTCTTATCTTGAAAATGTTGTTTCTGACTATACCTTATAATTCAGTATGGCTCCAATAGATAATGCTAAAAGTGATTATAAGTTACCCAAGGCAATATTATGAAAAGCCACAAACACGCAACCGCGAAGAGAATTTGGCCCACTTTAACTGTTTTATTTTCAAACTCGATGGAAGTTCAAATCATAAAAATAAAGGCCACCACTGATCATTTTAAGCCTTGCAAACATTCTGGTAATTGACCAGAAGTCGCTTTACTGGAAGCATGAAAAATGCACGGTCAGCAAAATTGCGACATTCGAATTTTTCAAATCTGATGATACCATCAAAAAAGCTTGTAACGTGGACGTGACTTCCGGTCTTCTGCCAGAAGGTTCCCAAGGCATTTGCAGAATTTAAACAAAGAATGTAGTCAATCTGCATCATTTATTAGGTATGATTTTTTTTTAAAACATCGTAAGAGTTGATTTCACTTAAATTTAGCTTCGCATTAACACTATTTTAGCATTATTTCTTTCTATTGAATGCACCTAAGACTGTAAGTGGCTAGAAATAACAGTATGACTGTAGTTGAAAAATCCATTAAACAACTGAATTTACTGGTTGTTAGGGATCTTGGTGGTTAGTAGAGCCAAAGAAGATGTCATTAAATTCAAAGTTCAAAAATCCTCCAAGTTCATTGTCTTATCCAGGCATGTGTAGAAAACTGGCCCCTTCAGGTTGTACCCTTCACGCAAAAGACTTAAGACTATCAGTTTTGGTACATGTATGTTTTTCGAGTTTCTTTTTTAGTTGTTCGCAAAAAATAAGTTGAGCAAAACAAAGATAGATATTTCATCCAGTGTCCTTAGATTCCTCTTTAAAGTACCAAATGATTCCACAGTTCAAAGAGAATGAATTCTATATTTTTACCCAAGTACGAAATCCATTTGATTTTTTATGCATCTATTCCTTATACACTTTCAATATTCGTAGCTGCAAAGAATGGTTTTGAAGACTCGGTCAATTTTCTATGTGAGTCGGTCCAACGTTTCCGGACACCTGAAGGCAGAATGGAACATTTTTTGACAATTTCGAAATACTTTGCTTTGTTAATTTTGAAATATGAAATAATTGCAAGATATCATCATAAAATATGAAATAATGCTATCCCCCCTTATAGGGGCCTCATCAGTTTTTGCTATGATCCGCTACAACATTAGCTTGTGGGTGTGATATTTTGGTACTACAACTAATGTTATTACTAGCTAAATATTATTCAGAAAGATCGTCACCAAATTCGACACACGTGAGTTTCTGTCGAAGGGCTAAAGTTCTTAACAATGATCGCTATTTCCATGCCATTTTTGTATCAAGATTTTCTCTTACAAAACATTGCCCTCTAGCCATGACAAGTAGCAGCATGCGACATGACCTAATTGGCTGAAAAATGAGTGTAGAAGCATGATAAATTATTCCTAGCTTGTCTTAATCCTCAATATCGCCGTACAACATTCAAGTAATGCAAACAATTGGGTTATCTCTGTTCTTAGCACTTATTTGTCGCGAACAAACTTATGTATTACTGTTTTAAATTCTACTGAATGACAACATCCAATCTTTATTTATCTTTATCGCTTAAGCTCGAAAATCATTGCTTTTAGTATGGCTTCCCACCTTAACCATTGGAATATAATATGTATGCATAGGTACGCTAATGAGAATCCCAGCTGCAGTACTAAAGGTGCGAAATTTCATCTTCAAACTTAATTCAAGGTATTTAACTCAACCCCTGATCAAATCTTTAGCCCTATTTTATCAACAACACAAAGCTTCAAGACATATTAAATTTTGACGGTTTAAAAGATTCTTCCAACAGAGAAAGATGAAGATCATTTGTATTGTGTCTGTGATATTTTTGTCTAATTGAACGCAAGTCTCATTGAACGACACCATAACTCGTGAAGATTTTCTGTCCCCTCCTCTCTTTCGATATGTTTACCACGGTTACACCTATTTTTTATAAGATCCTAAGCTCGAGATTAGCAATCAGTTTTTTAATTTTTTGCTGACTTAAATGCTCAAAGCATCTTCAATACCAAACTTTATCAAAGACCTAGTTTCTAGAAACATGAAAAACATGAGATAACATGAAATAAACCCTGTGTAAGTCACAATGGTCTTTTTCTATTCATCTATGTCAATTAAACAGGAAATATTTGCATTATCAATTCATCTTGAAAAGAAAAAATTTATTAAGTTTTTAGCAGTCTAGCAGTTTTCAAGGTTAAGGTTGGCCACTGTTATGGTTTCTCGATTTATTAAGGCCCAGTTTCTTATAGACGATTTTTTTGTAAAAAAAATGAAAATAACATATATAAAAAATTAGAGAAGGTCAATTAACAAAAAATCATGAAATGTTAACCTGGTTAGACACTACCATACGATTTAGTTGTCAGATTTGAGTAATAGTCTACTTCTACGAAAGAACTTGAAAGGTGCTTACAGATGAATCTATTCTTGATTGCACTGCAAACCATATACGCCATATTTTTGCATATGTACCAGAAACTGATAACTAGGACTAGGTAATACTGACGTGGGACTGACGAAACAACTCTTATATACCAACTTAATTACAGTACAAGCAACGTTTCCGCTGTTAATCTTTTTCAATCGTTACTGCAGCGTGATATTGGATAGTCCGGATTTCAGGCACGTCCAAGCTTTGCTTAGCTTATCAAAATTGTTAAGCATAAGTCTTTAATATTTTGCACTACTCTATCTTTGGATGCAATTTGTTTTAAACACATATAAGCGTTTGCAGAGGAATGTTGCTCGTTTGCGTGGATTTGCAAATAACACGTGACTGACAGATTTCAATTTAAGAGGCTAGAAAGCTCAGTATTGTACCTTGTTTTAGAAATTAAAACTCGTAACTTAAGACTACACTCATATCTAGGTTGCGATTTAGAGTTCCACTTACACTTTGCTGCCACAAGCCCGCCAGCTCTTACTCTCGTGATTCCCTTGTTCTTCCTTCGTGGGATAATTCAACACTGATGCAGTCAACGTTGGTGAATGGAAATGGGGAATATTGTTGTCATGGAAACCTCAAAGCTGTCTTAACAGGTGCAAGGGCTCTTGCGCATGGCTATCGAGAGAATTAACAGCTGGTTGAAAGATGGTTAAGAGGCATAAGAAATCAGAAATAAATTTGCCAATGTACAAGACAAGACTCACAGGAACCATTTCAATCACTTAATCTCTGGTTCAGTTAGAATTTGCCAGAAAATAATATTTGGAGAATTCTGTTGGAAAATGTGTTTAATAATGTTGCTATCTATGCAATGAGTTTAAGCTCGTCTTTTTAAATGCCTTAAAATTGTACACAACACACGGCTGCTGTCATAAAACAGCAACAAATTAATCTTACAATCGGCATCACCCAATTACAGCCCGTTCGTTTTATTACACAGCGCAGGCTTTTCTAATACCTATGGTTAATGAACAAGCAAATGTGATGAAATGCGTGTTTAAACAGCGAAAAATTCTTCATAATCCCAAGATTTGTTTCACATAGAAATCTAATTACTAGCGGCCCTTCTCTGCTAACTTCTGTGTATAAAATATAGGTTTCTGTACTATGTGTCCACTTACCGTAAGTCAAAACATCGCCTCATCTTGTTCATAAGCATAACGAGTTTAACAAAATTATTGACCTTTCTTTTTAGAAACTTGACGCGTCGTGCTTGATTAGGTTATTAGGAACTTCAATCAATTCTATTTGTTGTTGTTTTTTAGAAAATTCAAGCTATAACAAGAACATACAATGTAATTCAAATTAGTGTTTTCTTCTAGGCTAGCGTAAACGTGAAATTTAAAAAATGGCATACGGAGCTGAAACCAAAAGAAGGCAAAAAGCAGAGCTGGATTCTATTATTGTTTCTCATTTATTATTTAACTTTTCAAGCAGTAAACATTTGAAGTGATGAAACATATGCGCACAGATGCTCCTTATTTGCACTTGATTGGTTGTTTAGACAAAAGGAACGGCCCAATGAATGGACAATTGAATAGCATTCGAGTTAATGCAGTGGCAACGAATTTGAAGAGGTGACCTTTCAAACGCAAAAGAAAATTTGAAAATTCTGCTATTTGGGTGCAATGCCAAACAGCTTTTACGATGAAAATTGTATTTTGCTTTGCACGTAAAACAATTCTTGACAGAATTGTCGTGATATAAATGTCAATTAAGGGCAAAAAACCACCATTCTGACACTTTATTCGTCTCTTTTGTTTGACTATAAAAATATTTTACAAAGTAAGTAAAGGAATGACGTTAACAGAATCGAGCAAGATCTTAACAAGAATACAAACATTATCACTACAAGTAGCTTGACTTAAATAAAACGACTTGAATTACTATCAAATACTTTTATTACTAATTGGTAGTATGATTGGAAAAAGCGAACTGGTTCTTTAATAATCGAGAGGCAGTTTTCTGGACAATTATAAAAATGACAATTATCAAGACTGTTTAGTAAACTTAGGAATTAAAATGTTAAAAACTGTATATGCTACGTTCCTTTACTTAAATTTAAAACAGTCCCAGTCTCTTTCGAGTCTCGATTTGGCGGCTTAATGAGGAATGGACAGGAATCTGTGGCTTTCCAACAATCAGCTTAAGAAAACTTCGGCTAATGAGGAAGGGAGGCTAATACTGAGCTTTAAATGCTTGTAGATCGTTACTTGATTCACTGACTAGACACAGAAACCAAGAAAGCTCTGCTGATTTCTATCACTCTCGCAATAAAAATGGATGGAAATTTTCAACAATAAAAAACTCTGTCAGTTCCAATACGATATTTAGAAATTTTTTGTTGATATATATGAGTTCGCGTTGTTTTAGACGCACTGTTAGCCTTGAGTTGCTCAACTAGCCATTCCACCATCTACTTGAAAGATAACCCTGGGGAACTGGAACCGATCCAGTTTCTGCACATTTTTGTATAAAGGTCTTCAGCCTCACAACAGGTCCTTTCTTATCTGATTCAGTGATGTCGTCGATCTTTGGCAAAAAATCTTCATAAAGCATTCTTAATAGCTTTTGGAACTGTTTCCCATATTTCTGCTTCATTGCATAGGCAGCAACTTCCAAGAAATCGAACAAAATTGTCGCAGTGACCGTCTCCCTTGGTTCCAGGTTCATGATACGCGAAATCCATGTCCATGCATTGTGCAAACCGAATGGGTGTCCTGTCGCGCGGTATTTTGGAGGCAATGGTGACTGTAATATTGCAGCGTACAGTCGAACGATCCCTGATAACTTTTTCAAATAAGTGTTCTCATCTTCAATATCTTCACCATTTACTTCATATCCTAGCTTCTTGCAGTATTCGGCTACCGATTGGTCAGGTCCTTTGTGCAGGTAATACGGTACCAAGTAAGGGCATGTCGTGTAGAAGTGTGCCAGCATCAGCTTTCCAACTTCAGGAAATTGTGCCCAGATACCAACAGCAACTGCCCCAAATGAGAATGCAGAATTGAAACTTGACGAGATTTGCCTCGTTCCTTGGAGAACAAGCTTTTTTGCGATTGTGTCTTTGCAGTACGCCTTTAAAAAAATTTTAAAAAAAATTAAATGCAAAATGCTGGTCAGAGTATAATCACGAGAAGCTTTGAATCTAATTGTTACTTTAAGGATAAATTTAACTTCTAATACAACGCATTTCATGCAAAGCTTGCGACCTTTTTTGGAAAAGAGTATTTCTAGGGGGTCAGAGATAACCGGCCTTTCTAAATACGTTATCGACTCACTCACTTCATGTTACACACTCACGCAGCAACCCTTAGACCTCCTGCTTAAATAAAATATTCAAAGTATGGATTTACTCGATGCACCTGACAATTAATTTAATACTAGGCTAAGCAAATTATCAGCATTGACATTAGATTACAATTCATCCACCTTACAAAAAAAGCTTTTGGGGTTAAACCAGAGCGGCAGCATACGGTGCTGGACTTAAAAGCAACTAAATTTTCTAAGAATAGGAATACACAGAATAGGAAACTTTGCTTAAGAAACACTATAAATCACACAGCTGATAACATAACTGCACAGATTAGCAATTTCAAACAGATGTCAAAGAACAGCCAAGAACAGACTGCAATAGAAACCTGGCATATTGAAGAGATGCATAGAAAACACATGGTATATAAGTAGAATGTAGGTATGAAGCAGGCGACAAAAAGAATGCCTTGGCTGATTTGAGAATACTGACATCTTGAGAATAGTGACATCAGGCATCATCTGGTTGCATAAGACAATTTGGGAACTTTATCTAAATAACATGGCTTAGGCAATTTAATATAAATCTAGAATGTGAAAATAGATTATCTGGATGTGGTTTAAGGATTCTGAGGATATTTTGGATGGAAAAGGTATTTGCATACGCATTCTTGATGTACAAAGAACCAACAATACTGTCAGAAATTTCCACTGCTCAATATGCATTCACCAATAATGAAATTCTGTGTCAAATTCAGTCTGGAATTCAGTGATAACCGAATGTAATCATCAGTGATCATCAGTTTATCAAATATTCACAGTCTATGCACTTTTGTCTCCAAAAGCTGACTGTTTGCATACTTAGTGTTTACACCCATTCCATTTGCTTGATACTGTCCATAAGGACTGGCCAATTCTGGACAGGTCAATCCCAGTCATGGGGGTATAACACATGTTAATTATTCAATATAACCCTATGTTAATCATATGCTATAATGTGGAAACACAACGTTTTCTTGTTGCTGCATTGCAGTTTCAAATTCACTGAAGCAACCTAGAACAAGACTTATACAAAGGCATAACACGGAAAATCATTTTTCGTCAAAATAAATATGGAAAGGCTTTGAAAATGACACAGTTTGAAAACAGCATGAAGCATATATTTGCAGATTTCCCTCTCCTTGAATGCAGAGCGATATTGTTCTGGTTTAAAGTGCAACCCTTGAAAATTCACACCTTTATCGCATCCTTCCATTTTGCTTTATTCTTCATTTTTGGCAGGTAACAAAAAGTTTAACTAAAGCTTTTCGTCTGACACTCTTCAGAGTACAGAGCATAGGAACAAATACAAAATTACAAATACAAAAATCAAAATACTACACTAGGAAATATATATCTCATATGCAGTTTCTAATAGATTTTTTGTATGTTTTTTCCAACATCATATGAAAACAAAACAACATAAAATAATTTATAGTATATGAAAACAATTTCCTAAAAATGGCACATCCCTGTTGGACAAATATTACATACAACATAACTCTGTCTGGAGAGGGTTGTTTACAGGGGCGGACACTTGGTCAAATATTGGGGGGGCAAGCCTATTGTTTTAATAAGATGACGTCACATTTCCCATTGTTTTAGAACAAAAGCCCATTGTTCTCTAAAGTATTGGGGGGCGATCGCCCCCCCTCGCCCCCCCAAGTGTCCGCCACTGGTTGTTTAATGTGGCATGGCCCATTGCTTATATAAAAAACCAGGTAAAGGTAGGAACTGGAAACTGAAACAACTGGTGTAAAACCTAGGGCATACAAAAAGCAAACTTTCTAGCATGGACAATCAGCAAATGCTTTCAAAGACATTGCTGCAGCTCCTTAGAATGGTGGATGCCTGATGATCTGGTCGCAATATTTTGCACACAACTTGCACCAAAATCTTTTTAAAATATTGCTTATTTCCATAGGCATTAACAGTATAGCCATAGGCATCAACAGTATAGCAACAGTGACCAAATCTTTGTAAAATATTGCTTATTGTCATAAGCATCAACAGTATAGCCTAGAATTCTATCCCTACCCTATTTCAGCAAAATAGAGAGCTCCTTTGTTACCCCTTTACTTTCCTTTGCAGAAGACGCCAAATTCCAAGTATAGATAGGAAGAAGTATGACACAAGTCTTTTCTTGAAGCTGGGAGACTTTTGTATTAAAATTCAACCATTCGAAAATAGTATTTAAAGAAACAAGTGCGTGCTAACACAGGTCTGTGATAAAATACGAGCACTGGACTAGAAGATGCTTGCAAATTATCATATAAATGTGGTTTCTGCAGCCTTACTCAAAGGTAAGAATAAAATTTGCTGGACTGCTAGTCAATTTTACAATAATATTCAGCTTTTGTTATGATGTGCACGGTTGTGTTGCACTTAATGCTGAAGTTTCTTCTAGATATTGCTTAGCAAAATGCTAGCTCTGATGCTATGGTCATTGGGTCTGCATTTTATTGCACCCAAGAATCATCTCAACAGCTCTCCAAAATGATGACGCTGCATGATTGACCAGACTGATAAAACATGTTAAAACAATGAAAACAAATAGCAATTTTTAGTTTCTTTTTTCACCTTATTGGTTTCCTCTGCTTGGTTTAAAAAAGAAATGTAGGTCAGGTCATATGGAATTTGCATCCAAAAATCTTTGCATACCACTGCACTGCACAACAACATCACATTAAAATTTAAATGACTTTGAAACTATTTACACAGAGGTGTAGAATATATAAAAATTCTACCTAAAAGCAACCTCACTGTGAAAATTTGAGCTCTTTATCCAGCTTAAATTATACCCTCTACATAATAATGAAATAAATGCAAAACAAAACTTGCGAAGCATTTTGTATCATCTTGATTACAATAATATCACTTTTGTGTAGGTTGTAATGATATGAATTTCATATGATATCTAGAGTTTGGCAAGGCACAAGTAGATTAAATTGATTTCAGAAAGAAAGAAATGTGATCTAACTTCACACTACAGGACATTAGCACATCTGGCCACCTGCTGCAAAGTGGAAAACCCTGGATAAAAATTGGTTTAATGATGATGATCACACTTAAGATAAGGCTTGCCTAATTTTAGAATATTTTCAAGTTCTGGTTAAAGACCACATGATATGTTGCAATATGAGAACCCTTATTTTTCATTACACTGAATACACACTTCATCACTCCCCCGGGGGACCAGAAGTCAAAATGGCATGTTGTGAACAAAATCAATTCTTATTTTAATGGCATGCTTTTCTGCAAACCCTGTAGTGAGAATTTCTGGCATTCATAAAATCAAAATTAAAGTAATATGCATAAAATACAGATTATCTATCTATGATGCAAAAATAGAAATACTCCTTACCAGTCCCTCTGGTTGATCTTTGCAACTGACGTTTTTATTTCCTACTGTTGTCATTTCTCCATTCAGCAATTTTGTGAGTCTTTCAATCTTATCCATAAGATGGTGGGGAGAATGATCAGAAATGGCATTAATCGGTGTATTTATTGCCTTTGTTAGATCAAATCTGTAGGTTTTCTTGTCTGCTCCTTCCACTAAAGCTGAATACGATGCTTTGAACATTCCATGAAACTCCACTATTTCTTGGTAACCTTTGAATGCTTCTGCAGCAACAAAGGAGTCCAAAGTTACCTGACTATCTTGTATTTTATTTTTATTTTCAAGTCTCTGTTGCTCCAAATCTTTTGCCTCCTTCTCTTTTTTTTCGGCTTGTCTCTTATTTTCTTCTTCTTTCTTTTTAGCAACAGCAATTTCAGTTTCCTTTGAAACTTTGTCTTTTATCATTTTCAAACTTTGAGCTAATTTTTCAAGATGAGAACATGTTTCTTCTAAAGTGATTTGCATTTCAGTGGCACTGGAAGCTCTCTTTGCTGCTGCCTGAAACATTGCTATTGCATCATTGCTTAGTTTCTTAATTTCGTCTGGTAAATAGTCATTGTCTATGTGACATTTTATTTGTTCATTGATTTCCAAACAAAATTTTTTTATATTTAACAAAAGACTTTCTATATTTTGGCTAAGTGCCTTTCTTCTTTGTTTTGCTTCTTCCTGTTCTTCCCTCTGTTTTATAATTTCTTCTTGCCTCTTTTGAATGCTTTCATTAAAGCTCTGTAAGGATAGGCTTCTTCTTTTGTGTTGCATTTTCAAACTTTTAAGAGATTCTTCTTCTAATGCAGTTTTTCTAGCTAGAATTTGATCAATTTCATTGGCCTCTCTCTGAAAATTAGCAATCTTAATTCTATTGGCTTCAATCTCTGAACACTTCACCTCATTTTGAATTTGCTGAAACCCTGCCAGAAACTTTTCTTTCATTATTTTTGTTTCTTTTTTGGCTTTCTCTCCCAACTCTTGCTTGTATTCGTTAATTAGGTCAATGACATCATGAGTTGAAACATGCAATCTTGGTTTATGGCTGGCCAATGTCCTTTCTTGACCAATCCTGCTTTTGAAGCTGCTTGGACCATTTTCTTTAGCTCTGTCTTTTGATTCATTACTGCCTCCTTGCACAGAACGATCGTTGCAATATCCATCCGTGTTAGTAAGTGAAGTTAAGCTTTCTGAATTCCTTTGATCGGGCGGGGAACTCAAAGCAACAATAAGCCCAAAGTCTGTCAGACTAACCCGCCTAGAAGATTTCGATACTGGAGCAAATGTTCCTCCTGAACCAGACCTGTAAACCAGCCGACCTTTCGGTGTACTCTTAAGGCACTTAACAACATCTTCCTTGGACGGGGACTTCATATTTGTCTTTAAAATGAAGTCTGTCATATTTGTTTCCACATTGTAAAATGTCTCGAAGAGAAGACTTTTTGATAATAGATGTTGTTGCTGTTGTATAAAAACCTCGTACTGGCGCATTTCTGACATTTGCTGTCTCCGATATCAGGCACCGCGGGGAAGGGGGCACTATAGCCCCCCCCCCACTTTTTTCTTAAAATGCCAACAGCTCTTTATTTGTTTGTGGCCCCCCTTTCCACTTTTTTTAGACCCCCACTTTTCTCAACGCTCCGCGGTGCCTGGATATGATCTAAAGTTGAAACAAAAAAGTTACCTAAAAGGAATAAACTCTTTTCCTTTTGGGGAGCAAAACTATGTAGCAGCCTTCCCGCTGAATCCATAACTGCCTTCTCCCCAAAAACTTCTAATTAAAACCTTCTATTTTCAGTTTGTAGTGTTATGGAAAGTTTCCGTTTTAAATAAAGGCAAAAATCCTTTCCGTTTCCTTTCCTTTTTAAATATAGGCAGAAATAATTTAATGCATAATTTCAAATATGATTTTATATCATAGTTATTGTAAAACTTCGTTTTCTAAATTTGTGGATGAGGGGAACCCTTGAAAAACACCCTTTGCTGATGAAGGGCGTATACTCAGCAGATGAGATACAAATGCACATTAGCAACTCGGAGTTCAGCAAGTATTTCTTCTGCTGTTTAGAAAAATTTGTTTTTGTCATTCATTCGTTATAATCATTCTATGGTTACAACATTCCAATCTCAGGCAACATGTAATGTTAAACTGACTTCACCTTGTTTTCAATTATTGATGATTTTCATGAAAAAGTTATATATAATATCATAGATCAATGATCATAGAGCTCTCGATGTGCATTGCCTAACATTTGCAGTTTATATGAAATTGCTTTCATGTTGGTCAAGACTCTGTTTCTCTATAATTTGAAGTACTTTTAAAATTCATTTTAATCTAACTTAGAGTGGCTTTAATGGGGCTTTATCAGTTCAGTTCAGTTTATATATTCTAAAATTCCTCTACTTACAACACCTTACTAAAACACTAATTACAAACATACAATGACTAGGAATTACATAAACACACTTATGATAACATACGATAAAAAACAATTACATAATATGTTGCATTCATGGGATTTTCTGAAGAGGAGCTCTCTCAATAGATAAACTAACTGAGAAGAGAGCACCCCCTTTTAGAAGATGGTTCTAAATCTTATTTAATCATTTATTGAGTGGCCAGAACAATATTTATCAATTTAGATTCAACTGACCCAAGGGGGGTCAGAAGGGTCACTGACCCAGGTGCCCTTAACTAAAAAGGGCCCATAAGTGATACCTCAATAAAAAAATTATAAATGATAATTCTGCCATTATAACCAACTGTCAATAATAGTTACAATAATGAAAAAAGTTTATGAATGAAGTAAGGTAGAAGCAGTATGAGTCATTGACTGCTTGAGAGTTAAAGATACTGTATTTTTGTTGAGAATTTCTAATCTTTGTGGGCTAGGGCTGAAAAAGTTGAAAAGATTTTGAATGTGTACCAAATAATGTGATTACAACAGGGGAACAAACAGCAATATGTACAATCATTGTCAAAAGTACTTTGAACACTCAGCAATTTGCATTGTTTTCTATATTTTTCAATTCATCCCGAATGTTCCTTTTTCCGCACCCCCTTTCCCCTAAACAATGTTGATAATTTAGAAAAATATTATAGAATTAGCAGAAAAAAGCGTACTTTCTAATCCCCTACGTTTTTTGTCGTAAACCAATGTTAATTAAGAGGGGATAAGGAATGGCTGAATTTGCCAAAACTTTTTGTTGGTATTGTACGTCATACAGATTACACAATGGCAAGCGAATCTATTTACAACATTGTGTCGAGTTTTGTTAACAAATTATACGTTTTCCCTTTTCTAAAGTCCTGGCAAAACGACTAAACATTTCACTCAACTTTTGTTTAGTCAAAAGTTTAGTGAAAAGTTTAGTCGTTTTGCCACCCTGTTTAGTATTGTTTAGTCGTGTTGAGTGTTGTTGAGCAAAGTTTAATCCTGGTCAAAAATGTTTAGCGTTGATTAGTGTTGTTAAGCAAATGTTTAGTCGTTTTGCCACCAATTAAACCTTTGTTGTGATCGCGCAGGCGCTCTAGCTGTGGAAATCCAAAGGTTTTCGTCTGTTTTCCTTGGTTTTCCTGTCTCTACGTGACCCAAAAAGCCTTTATGAGACATCTTCTGCTAGCTCGTTGTACGCTACTATCTTCTTCAACAGATCATTTTTGTTGTTAATGTGCTAAAAAGTCTTCTTTCCCCGTCGCTTCAACCAATTCTTACTTTTATCCACTGCTTGTGCATGCAACAAAATAAATTAAAAGCAAACTCCTATGCAAAATCCCCAACAACCCAACAGCGTCATAGACAGCTTGCAGTTCAAAAAAGTTGAGTGAAGTTTAGTGGAAAGTTTAGTCACGTTTTGCCACCCTCGCTAAACTTCGCTCAACTTCACTAAACAAAAGTTGGGTGAAATGTTTAGTGAAACGTTTAGCTGTTTTGCCAGGGTTTAAGACTTTAAGTTTTTTTAAGAAATTTTCATTTTTATGCATTCTGATGTTAAGATATCAATAATGCTCAAATTATGTAAAATAGGAAAAAGAAGTAATAGCCACCAAAGCAGTTTAGCCACAATCCTTTTTAAAATTCTAGGGGAGCATTCCCTAGAAGGATCTGCCTTGGGCGTGCTTTATTATTCATCTTTCAACCCAACCAGGGGCCCATAAATCCTCTCTGTGGCTGTGCGTGTAACATACTGATAAACATTTGTCACTGATTCAAAAAACTGTGGAAAAAACTAGGAGAGTAAGAGTGTTCTTATTGACACAGTCATTAACAAAGCAAAGCAATTTTAACTGAAAAAGATCTTAAAGCTTCAAGACTTTCAAGTCTGAAAAGATAGGAGTGGAGGCTGAAGTAAAATGTTCAAATGCAATAGCCTTTACCACTTTTTTTGCAACAGATATATAGGCATGAATCTACCCACTTTTCTGAAAATATGGTCTACATTTTGCTTCTAAAAATGGATTAAAAAACGCTGGATAGGGGTAGATCGAATTTTCTAGGGAAAGTTAACTTGGTACAAATCACTGAAACGAGGCAAAATGGGTGTGATCCCACTGGCCGCACCTATTGCTCTCACACTCTGTAATAGCTGGCGCCGCCACTGCCCCATACTTCTATACTGTATTGGAGACAGGAAGAAAATGATGAATTGTACAGATAGATCATAACATCAACAGAAAGGGTCTTATCTTGAAAAATACATCTCTGTAGAAAGAAAGAGAGACATCCTGATTTGTGAGCGTCTCTCTCTCTCTCTCTCTCTCTCTCTCTCTCTCTCTCTCTCTCTCTCTCTCTCTCTCTCTCTCTCTCTCTCTCTCTCTCTCTCTCTCTCTCTCTCTCTCTCTCTCTCTCTCTCTCTCTCTCTCTCTCTCTCTCTCTCTCTCACTCTCTCACTCTTCTCTCTCTCTCTCTCTCTCTCTCTCTCTCTCTCTCTCTCTCTCTGTCTCTCTCTCTAGGTACCATGCCTATCATGGGCGTAGGTGGTCATGACCTTCCACTTTCTTCGATCTTTTGCAGCATGTAGCATGTCATTTGTTGTCATCATATAGTCTTCTGCCATGGATGGTAACATCATTTGTCTCTGCCTTTATCTCGCTTTCTTGCCTTGAATCTTTCCTGTCATTACAATTTGTTCCAACTCTTCTTTCCGCATCACATGACCTATAAATTTTCCTTGTCTTTCTCTGATGTCTTTCTACAAAGATCTTTGTGTTTTTGCTATCTGGAGTATTTCCTCATTGCTGACATGCCTTGTCCAAGATATTCTTAACATTCGTCTAAGAAACCACACTTTTGAAGCTTCGATTCCTTTCCTCATCGTAGAAGATACTGTTCAGCACTCGGAACCATATGTAAGGATTGGAATGATGTAACATTTTAAAATTCTTATTTTTACTTTGATATCGATTTTCGTGTTAATCAGGATGTTCTTCATTTTCATGAATGCACCTTTTGCCGTACCTATGCGCCTTTTGAAATCCTTCTCACAGCGTCCATCTGATGTTATCCAGCTGCCAAGATAGTTGAAATCGTTTACTTTCTTTATGACTTTTGTTCCTATCTTGAATTTGCAAGGTGGTGGTCTTTCCTTTTTTGAAATAACCATACATTCTGTCTTTTTGCAGTTGATAGTGAGGCCCTTTTGAGCACTTTCCTGAACCACCTTGTCTAGAATTCGTTGTAAATTTCCTTCGGTTGTAGATATTAGCACAGTGTCATCTGTATATCTAAAATTATTTGTGTTCTTTCCACCTACGGAGATACATTCAAGATCTTTGATTTCTCTGAGTATCATTTCACTGTATAAATTGAAGAGGTCTGGGGAAAATACGCAGCCTTGTCGAACTCATCTTTCTATGCTGATGTATAGACTGGTATTCCGCTCTGATTGCTGCGGTTTGTTCCCAGTACAAGTCCCTTACGATCCAGAGGTCTTTTCCATCTAGATCTAGTGATGTTAGCATGTCGAACGATTTCTCATGTTGTACCTTGTCAAAAGCCTTAGAGTAGTCTATAAAGCATAGGTAAAGATCTTGCTGCACTTGAATTGATCGTTCTGCAAGTGTTCTCATCAATAATATTGCATTTCTTGTGCCTCTATCCTTTACGAATCCACATTGTTCTTGCGAGATTTCTGGTTCCATCTTGCTTCTACCTTTTACCATAATGATTCGTAAAAATACTTTTGTGATATGACTCATGAGACTTATTCTTCGATGAAGATCGCAATCAACTGCACCTGATAAAGAATTATGATAGATCAAGAATTTGAAAACAAGAAATTCCTAAAACAACAAGGTTTTGGGAAGATAATTCTTTTTGAATCATCTTTTTTTCAAAATATTCTCAATTTAGCTATTTGCCATTAATAAAATGATGTTTTTGTGGACAGTTCGAAAGTTGGTTTGTTTCACAGGATGCCTGACCAAACTTCTATTGTAAAAATTTGTCTTTATATCTTTCTCTTCAAAGTATATAGCTTGATATAAACCCTAGTGAATGTTTATGTGTTCATTTTGTCAGCTCTAAATGAGAAATAGCTCTTTGCAAAGAACAATATTTACGATCAATGTAAGTAAATTGTACCAGGAAAATTTATTTAAAATATTTAACGACGTTTCGAGCATAGCCCGTTATCAAGCTAACATAACATTTGATAACGGGCTATGCTCGAAACGTCGTTAATTATTTTAAATAAATTTTCCTGCTACAATTTACTTACATTGATCGTTATTTAAATTCATATAATATTTACGCCCTTAATGGTAGATCGCTCGGTTGGGTCATAAAGCTGTGACCATTCTATTCAGTAAATTAGAAAATTTGTTTGCTTTGATTCATAAAAAGACTTCAATTACTTCATATGTAAAAGCAACTAGTCTAGTCATTAACGCCTTTCTATATAATTTTCCAAGATTGGCATTGAAAACCTTTTTAGACTTTGCACGCGACTTTAAAATTGAAGGTTAAACTTTTCTCTTTACCAAGTGTGAAAATAATTGAGCCTGTGAAAGTGCTGCATAGAGAACAAAGCCGGGCAAATTGAGTAAATTGCTAGAATCCAAGTGAGCTGGTCGCCAAAACAGATCACCAGAACCATCCAGTGGCCAAATATATAAACAAAGTTGCCGTGAAAATATCGTGGTAAATTAAAGCTGCAACCAATTTGGGCATTTGATTTACAATAGGGAACAATTTTGAAAACTCATTTCTTTTTATCTTTCTTATCCTACCAGCTGTTCTGGATATATTATATTGGGGAACAAAAAAGCTTGTCCTCAAAACTCTCTCCTTGAATATGGTACCTAAACTAACCGGTTGAAAGTATTTTCATAAAACTTTGGCATCTAACTATTTTATTTTGTTTTTTCCTTTTATCGTTAGCATTTTTGATATAATTTTTTTTAATGCTGAACCAAAAACTGATTTTGAATATCATTTTCCCAAACAATTTGTTCAGCATATGACTCTCTTTCTTCTTGCAGTATAAATTCTTCTTACATGCAATGTTGAACTGAACAGTTAATTGCACGAGAAAAAAATTCTTCAGCAAAGCTCCTCTAAATGGCAATCTAATTGAAGAGTGAGGGCGAGCCTCTCCTTTGTAACACAGACCATCAATTCAAACAAACGTTAAGTAGTGAAACATTTTCCTGTTCACAGGATAAGTAAATTCTTAAACCTGCATTTTTAGTTCAGCAGAAATATCAAAGGAGTTCCATACTGTTGGCTGTTTTTTGCGTTTTTAATACAAAGTTTGTATTAAAAACGAACAAGCAAAAACTACCTGATTATTCTGCCATGAAAAAAGATTTTATCAAAGCAGACTGGTAAAATTCATAGATATGTACATGGACCCAGAATAAAGATTCCTTTGTTTAGATTGAATAAAAGAAGTAAGTCAAGTAGTTTGAAGTAGAAGGAGTGAAGTGAGGCTCTTACAGTAAGATGTTACAGTTCGTTTTAGTATTTGAAAATGATGAATCAGTAAGGAGATTCTATGTTGAAGAATTGTCAAAAATAAAAGCATTGTGTAGACTAGTCAAAACATCCATTGGCATTGCCTTAAAAAACAAAGAAAAACATATTTATTTGATAGCTCATCCAAATGATACTTCAAACTCAAATCAGTTTTATTTTGATTTGATATAGGATACAGACTTTAGTTCTGACATATGTCATGTTGAATATGCACAAATCTTGGTCATGTTTTCATATAAATTAGGAAAAATGCAGAAACTTATTCCTAAAGCCATGATAAGAGGATACTAAACTTTCACTAATATAAAAGATTTGAGGGAGGGGTGCACTTTGAAAGCTCCCTTTTAGGAGGGATTTGTGATGGGCATAGTGCATCCGCTGTCCCTTCAGCTTGCGGACGCGTCTGCTTGGGGCTTGGGCGGTCACTGAGAGATGGCAGCCAACCAAGTGGGACAAACGAAGGGGTGAAGGCTTCCACGCCGTCATATTTTGTCACTACATTAAGCTACATAAGTATAAACAGAGTTTCTTTTGATATCTTGAATCTGTGAATCGAGAAAATTTACTACGGATTGCTGTCGCGAGTGATTCTCAGGAATTTCGCTTTGCGGAAGAAAATTCACCATCAACTGGTGGTACATGAAGCGGCCTAGGCATTATATGAACATGAGAGTTTTTGCTGGAGTTTTTTGTTGTTAGTGGCAAAATATTGGAGTCAGAGGAATTGAATGGGAAATACCTGCAATCATGTCTAAGGAAAAGCCTACGCTCAAGAAAGTCGCCATCCAGAAAGAGGGATATCTTACTATATTTTATGAGTTTCATCAGGTTTGTACATTGTAAATATGTTACTTCAGCTACGAAGATTAAAAGTTAGCTTTTCCACTGCCCTTCAAAAAATGGTTGAGATTACGATGAAGAAGTAAGTTCAATAAATTACAGAGCTTAATAAACTTGAATGACGAAGAGTTGCTTGTGCTTTCAGCGCCCCCTTATTTTCGCCGGGTTCGCTAATTTCATCAGGACAGTTGATGTTGTCCAGGTCCCCAGTTTCCTTGTTGGTGATTTGGCCAAGTGTTTGTGGCGGTTTGTGAACTTAGGCATGGGAAACGTCTGCTAAAATGGCTTTAAAAGTGAAGTTGGGTAGAAGTATTGCAGACAAAAGAAGAAGTGCTTTTATACCTCATCAAAAGGTACATTCGTCTCTGTTACTCCAGCCCTTTATTTAGTGGGCACATTTTTTAACGATTAACAACAAGGAAGGGGAAATGAGAAGTCCCCGTCGTCTTTATGCTTAAGGAAAATAGTTTATTTCCAAACAAAGAAAAATAATTTAGATTGCATGTTATTGACAGTGAGGCTGTATAAAAAGAATCCAATACCAGCCATATGCGCAATACTGTCAAACTGAAGTATATGGCATGCAGTAGGCAGAATACTTACCTTATTATGGAGCAAAACGTTGTTTATAATTTCAGAGGTGAATTGAATAGTCAGGAAGAAACATTACAATCAAAAAGGAAAATTAAATACAATGTGAAATTATTTCTGACTTTTGCTTCATGAAGCTAGTGTTTGCCAATGGTTTTTAAGTCCTGGTTTTCAGAATTGCGGGATCCCTGCCCAAGGGTCAGCTACCCTGTTGAATATTTGGAGTTAATTATGAAATAAAGAATATTATTTTTTCGTGGTAGAAAGTTTGAATTAATATTGAAATCCTTAGTTTGAATAAGTGAGGTGGGCTGTTAAAAAGAATATAAACTTCTTGTTTCATTTAATAAACAGAGTACTTTGTTTATTTGATGGGGCACTTAAATTTCCTTTGATGTTGGATATCAAATGAGGCATGGTATGAGAAGAAGTGAGGCATGATAACACATACATGTGCTAAAACTAATTCCTATAATATTCATGTTCCAATCAAAAGTTTCATATATGCTTTAGGCAACCTCCTTAACCAGTTCATCAAACTTTCCTTTACAACCTACCATCTCAAAACCACATTTTCCATAAACTCAAACTCATGCAACAAAGTATTAAATTACTTCTCTTGGTCTGTTATGGCTGTATACATACTGCCTCCTTGGGAAAATTATTTGTTCATGGATGAGAGTTTAAACAGCACACAGTTGGTATTTGCTGAACAAAATTTGTTTCTGGACTAAGATGACAATGATGACGATTTCAATTCTTTTTAGATTTAAAATTATTAGTTGTTCATGAAATTAATGTTATATATTTATGTTGTTTGTTACAGAATCATGATTTGAAGGAAATAATCCAGGAAATTTGCCTCAGGTACGTTTTTCTCAAAATTTATTTTTCTTTGTTTTTAATATAATCTGGAACTTAAAAATTCAGTTTCAAGCTCAGTCTGAATCTGCACAGAACCAGTAAATTTTAAATTAGCCAAAGATATTGACTGTATATATTTTATCATTTTTATTACCAATAAAATTCATTTTGAATTTGTTTTTTCTAGCTGGAATATCACAAACCCAGAGCAGTATGCATTGCAGTATACAGATACACAGACCTACATAACTCAAGAAGTAAGTTGTTTTAATCCTGTTTAAGTTTGGTTATCTTTGCTTTTAGGCAAATGTTCAAAATGATAACTATATATATTTATATATATATGTATGTAAATACTCTTTTGGCCTTTTTGTAAGAAATAGCCAACATGAGTGGCCCAACGCTTGCGAGATTTCTCTTGCGTGAGCGATTGCTCTCAAAATGATAATAATGAACAATGCTAAGAGTGTCCACAATGTATGATCCTTTTGTTCAAGGTAATATCAAATGAGAACAAATTGTCACAATTATCTATAATGCATCCCAAGAAAGATTAAATACCCAATATAAATGTCTTTCATTTGTAACTTTATGTACATCACAAAAGTCATATGGACGTTATTGCTGGATGATCACAAAATGTTGTTCTTTTTAAAAAATGCTTTAGCTGCCCAGAAAATGTACCAAGTCTATTATAGTTCAAATACCAAGTGCCAATAGTATTCCTAAACATTCAAGATGGAATTAATTTTCAAATGCATTTTTTCGTTGAGATTTGGTTAAGTTAGCTTACTTATATTTCCTGTGTCTTGATCTATCAGCTTTGTTTTGTCTATGTCGCTTCTTGGGTCACCAAAGGTGACTAAAAATGTGTTAATTAATGAGACATTTATTCCTCAAAATTTACCCCGAGTGGTCGCATGCGTCAAACAAAAAGGTCTGGTATAGAACAAGAGAGCTTTGTTTTGCTATTTTGAGTTTCACTGTTAATGTGCTCATCATTCAATCTCAGACAATCATAAGGTTGCCTCATGATTGCATTAAGCATCAAACTTAGAATAGCTACTTATAATTGTCAATGTTATATGCACAAAAAGAGTGTACACCTCCGGCTTTATGGTATCAACACTTTATGACAGACTGGTAAGCAGTAATTTTTGGATGCATACATATACATGCATAATATCATATTCTTACAAAGGGTGTATAGCATATACCTAATGCTATAAAAATATATGGTGTATTTTGTGATGAACATGAAGGAAAAACCTTAAAAATAACAAACTTAACTTACATGCATTTGGTGATTTTTAAACCATTTGGTGCTTAATTTTCTACTAAATTCTGCCTCTCACTTTTCCAGTTGACAACCCTGTATTTCTCTTTAGGCAGCTCATCAAACTTTAGAACAGAAACTGCCTTTCTACACATTAGAGATCCCAACTTATTATCTTTCTTACACATTGTCGGTTTTTGCCTATTTATCTTTATTTGTTTTTATTACAGACAAGATTTGACATACAGGATGGTGCTATTTTAACTTTGAACTTGTCACCAGTGAGTTTATTCTTATTCTTCATAGTATCAAAATCTAATTGTTTGTATATCAAACTTTAGAGGGCTAATTCTATCATTGTTATTTTTGACAGGCCTAATCATTTTTGCATGATTTCTCTTGAGCAAGCAACCACTCTTATGTGACTCAAGTTCAAATGAAAACAGACTCTGATGATGATTTTTTTTATTGCACTCCAAACGACATTAAATACCCAGTATAAATGTGCTTGGTTTATAATGTCCAGCACAAAAGTCATATAAACGTTATTGCTGGATGATTGTGAAATGTTGTTCTCGATCTTTTTTAAAACGCTTTAACCAGATTGCCAGTGATTGCTGGCATCAAAAGAAATAGCCTGTTTTGATTAAGATTATTATCGATCATGTAACTTTATTTTTTATGTATTGGTATATAAAACAGAAAGGTTTAAGTTGATGACCATATAAGCATGAAACTTCATGTGGAAACTTGGAATCAGTCAGCTCCATGCACTAAACCATCTCTTTCTTTATTTAAAGTTGGTACAATTCCCAGCTATGCATACATACATGCTAATTAAAACCAACTAATTTAAATTACCAACACTAAATATAATATAAATCAAATATAACCGATGTTGCTAACATATTCCTTGCAAAGATTACAAGTATATACAATTAAACAATGTAAATTCTGAGATTTTTTTCTTGAATATTGATAAAGTAGGGGAGTACTTTATCTCATTTGGAACTGAGTTCTATATTTGGCTACATCTGTATGATACGGTATTAAATCCATATATTTTGTAATGTGGCTCCGCTGTTTTGAATTGGGAGTGTCTTAAGTAATATGGTCATTTATTTATGGAAAATATTTCATCCATAAAAGGTGGATTCAATCCGTTAAATGTTTTGTAAATTTCTATCGCAAGATATTGTAAATTTTTCTTATGAGAAGTTATTGTTTTATTCTTTATTAAAAGTTGTTCAAAAGTTGATTCATAATCATCATGAGCTATTCTCATGGCTCTTTCATGAATCCGGTTTATCCGGTTATTAATTTTCCTACTGCAAAACAGTCAAATAAGAGGACAATAATTAAAATATGATAATATGAACGTTTTCATTAAAAGAATTCACTTAGATTTGTCCATATACAAAGCAATCCTGGCTAGAGCGTTTACCTTTTTCCCAGCTTCTTTACAAAAAACTTTAATATGTTCTTCTAATCTAAGTTGATGGTCTAGTGTTACTCCCAAAAGTTTAACATTCTTACTTTCTATTATAGTAGAACCATTTATTTGAATTTTAGATTCCTCTAAATTGGATTGATTGGCTTTAAATGTTATAAGCTTGCTTTTATCGCCATTGAGCACCAAGAAATTTTCATAAAACCATTTATTAAGAATAGCGGCTTCCGATTCTAAGTCGTCAGTTAGTTATTCATATCAGTACTTGACAGCCAAATTGTATTATCGTCTGCATAGTTGCATAAGTTGCTTTTGTTCAAATGCAGAAAAATATCATTTATGTAAATATTGAAAGGAACGGGCCTAAGAATGATCCTTGAGAAACTCCTTGCTTTGTTTCAATCCAATCACTAAAATCTGAGTTTATTTCTACTCGTTGTACTCTTTCATCCAAATAACTATACATAAATTCCATTGCGTTGTCGCTGAAGCCATAAGATTTCAGTTTGGCTAGTAGAAGTATATGGGGTAAACAATCAAATGCTTTTGATAAATCCATAAGCACTGCACCAGCCACATCTTTTTTATCCAGGCACTTTTTCAGACCTTCATTAAGTCGTAATAAAGCGTGTTGTGTGCTATAACCTTTTCTGAATCCACAAAGCAAAGGGAATAGTTTAACAATGATGTAATTGTAGGTTTGATTGAACATTATTCTCTCAAATACCTTTGAAGCTTAGGGGAGCACACTTATTGGTCTATAATTCTTTTTACTAGTTGAATCTTCTTTTTTGAAAATAGGGCACACATTAGCCATTTTCATAAGAAAGGGAAACGTTTTATCAGAAATAGATCGATTAAATATTTCAGCTAGTGGTCCAGAGACAACGTCTATTGCCATTCTAAGAACTTTTGGGGTGATGTTATCGGCTCCTGTTGATTTGTCTTCCTTTAGGTTGTAAATTATCTCACTTACCTCCTTGGAAGTTACATTTTCAAAGTTAAACTTAGGAAATTGATCAAACGTTTTCTTGATTTTTAAAATACTACGGTGGTTTTCAAAGCATTTCAATCGATCTAATAGTGACGAGGCTGTCCTTTCGTCAGACGTCTGTTGCACATTATCAGATAAAAGTCGGGCTATATTGAAGCTTTCAGTAATATAAAGTAGAACCATTTATTTGAATTTTAGATTCATCTAAATTGGATCGATTGGCTTTAAATGTTATAAGCTTGCTTTTATCGCCATTGAGCACCAAGAAATTTTCATAAAACCATTTATTAAGAATAGCGGCTTCCGATTCTAAGTATTCAGTTAGTTTATTCATATCAGTACTTGACATCCAAATTGTATTATCATCTGCATAGTTGCATAAGTTGCTTTTGTTCAAATGCAGAAAAATATAATCTATGTAATTATTGAAAAGCAATGGGCCTAAGATTGATCCTGGAGGAACTCCTTGCTTTGTTTCAATCCAATCACTAAAATTTGAGTTTATTTCTACTCGTTGTACTCTTTCATCCAAATAACTATACATAAATTCCATTGCGTTGTCGCTGAAGCCATAAGATTTCAGTTTGGCTAGTAGAAGTATATGGGGTAAACAATCAAATGCTTTTGATAAATCCATAAGCACTGCACCAGCCACATCTTTTTTATCCAGGCACTTTTTCAGACCTTCATTAAGTCGTAATAAAGCGTGTTGTGTGCTATAACCTTTTCTGAATCCACAAAGCAAAGGGAATAGTTTAACAATGATGTAATTGTAGGTTTGATTGAACATTATTCTCTCAAATACCTTTGAAGCTTAGGGGAGCACACTTATTGGTCTATAATTCTTTTTACTAGTTGAATCTTCTTTTTTGAAAATAGGGCACACATTAGCCATTTTCATAAGAAAGGGAAACGTTTTATCAGAAATAGATCGATTAAATATTTCAGCTAGTGGTCCAGAGACAACGTCTATTGCCATTCTAAGAACTTTTGGGGGGATGTTATCGGCTCCTGTTGATTTGTCTTCCTTTAGGTTGTAAATTATCTCACTTACCTCCTTGGAAGTTACATTTTCAAAAATAAACTTAGGAAATTGATCAAACGTTTCCTTGATTTTTAAAATACTACGGTGGTTTTCAAAGCATTTCAATCGATCTAATAGTGACGAGGCTGTCCTTTCGTCAGACGTCTGTTGCACATTATCAGATAAAAGTCGGGCTATATTGAAGCTTTCAGTAATATAAAGTAGAACCATTTATTTGAATTTTAGATTCCTCTAGATTGGATCGATTGGCTTTAAATGTTATAAGCTTGCTTTTATCGCCATTGAGCACCAAAAAATTTTCATAAAACCATTTATTAAGAATATTAAAATTAAGATTATTAATAATCAAGATTAAGAATATTAAGATTATTAATAATCAGAAGTGATTATTCAACTAACGATCAATGTAAGTAAATTGTACCAGGAAAAATTGTTTTAAAATAATTAACGACGTTTCGAGCATAGCCCGTTATCAAGTGATTTTTGTACTTCTCCCTATTAGAGACAGTTTTATTTTTGCTGAACTCATGTTTATCGAGAATTGAAATCAGAGTTTGATTGAAAACATCGTACGATACATTTTCTTTAGGTATTTTAGCTAAATTGAATGGAAGACTTGTTAAATTGATCGGTAGAAAAGGTTTTATAGCATCTATATGAAATAGAAGTGGGCTCAGATTTTATAGAAGTGGGTTCAGATTTTGCTTAAACAGACCATGGTCTGTTTAAGCACCTTCAAGCTCTGTATGACAGAGCAGTAACACAGTTATTTTCAAAACCTGATATCTATTGTTGCCTAAATGATTTTACTTTTCTATAGCTCAAGCAAAAAAACTTTAATTTTTCTGTACTTGCCTGTTTTTTCTTCATGTTGATTATTGTGCTTCCACAACTAATAGATGATTATAATTTTGCAACTTATCTTTAGGACAAGTTGGTAGAGAAAGTGATGAAATCATTAAACTCTCCTGATGCAGAAGAAAGAAGATCGACTCTTAAAACACTTGCAGGCTCAACTGATAGTCAGGGTCACTCAGAGATCGCAGGCCAAGCTGAGGTAGGCCTGGAGCTGCTGTTTCTCAATTTTCTATGTATTCAACGGACATCTATGAATAATTGTTTAAGTTACCTCCATTAATTTGCAATGAATGTTTGAAAAATGTAAGGAAGTCCTTTGCTAGTTGCCTCCAAGGTTAAGAAAATGAACAGGAAGTGGCCATTGAGGCAGTTTCATGGCAAACTGGAAAGTTACTTTCTTCTTAGTTGGTTAGCATTGTTTTAGATTTTTTCAAGATTTGCAATTGGCATCTTGATCGTACATTGCTTGAAAACTCTTGTTTGCACTTTATATATTAGTGAGTAGAGAACAGGATTTTAAGGATAAATATTCAGTGAAGATGTGAGGGAGTGATAGGACTTGGTCAGAACTTGATCCTGCTATGTTGCTTGTTAGAATAGTTTTTGTTTCTCTGTACTTTTACTATTCAGCAAGGACTGAATAGTAAAACCCCTTCAGTTAGCCCTAGATTTATGAGGAAAATGAGGATCACAAGAAGTTTATTGAAAAGCAGTGGAATAGATTTTCCGTCCAATGTCATGCCAATACAAATTTTAAATTTTGTAAAATAAAAACAATGAATTCATGAAGAAAATTGAAGTGTATTTTGCATGACCAGAGAAGACCATCATTGTCATAAAACTAGAAACAAATTAAAAAACAATAAACCAAACATATGCTGAGTTACCCTATCATTGGTGAATCTTTCTCCAGCCCTTTGATTTATCACATTTATCAACGTTCACTCTAGATTTACCCCTTTGTTGTCACATTAAGGCCCTCATTAGTTTCAACTTGATTAATAAAAACTGATGCTCTTGGCCACTTAATATTTGTGCAAAATATACCAGAGTATTGTATTTGCTTATATATAAGCAACTTTTAATGTTAATGAGGAGTCTAAATCCTCTTTTAACCTCACTGAGCTAACGTTTTCTAAGTTGAGATAATTATTTCTTTCAGGACCCTACATTTGCAAACGTTTTCATAAGAAGAAATGGAACAGATTTCTTGGTGAAAATTGTCGAGACAGAAACGCAGTAAGTGATTTAGCACTTGCCCATGGGTCATGAACCAGCATCGTCTTTAACAGCCATTGAAGCCTTTGGTACTGCAAAATTTGAAAAAAGCACGGAGGAGTGGCAGCATATCATACAAACTGACATCCTATAATCTAAGAAGGTTATTGGAATTTCAATTCAAACTTCTAATAACAAAATTTGTTTTTTTTTCAGAGACATGGAAATGTTAAGCTACTGCTTGGCTGCTTTCCAAGAGTTAATGGAGCATGGTCTTGTTCCATGGGACGGACTTGCTTCCAATAAATTCATAAAGAAGGTAAGGGCTTTCTGAGGTAAGGGCTTTCTGAGGTAAGGACTTTCTGAGGTAAGGGCTTTCTGACGAGACCTGAACGATGGGGACTTTTTCGTTTGTATGTCGTTTCGGTTGTCAGATCTCTAGATTATCAGACAGTGAAGCGATTTTAGCGATTTGATTCTGTGAAAGCCTTTTTTCTGTGACGACGAATGCGTAAGGCAGCGTAAAGGTCAGAATGATTGTTTTAGCATCGGAAAAAAACACTTTGAATCCAATCTAATAGTTAGCAGTGTGGATAGGTTGTATTAGAAGAATGTACCATTGATAGCATGCAAGCAACAATTTGCATCTCGCAATGATACTTGTTGGGCACCACAAACAAATTTATTTGTGGTATCAATTAAGTAGTATTATTACTAACAGGAGATCCTTAATTTCATAACAATCCGTAACAATACGTCCTTAATTTTGAAGACATTGATAGTTAAGAAACATTGAGAACACATAACAAACATTTTGTGTTAATAAATTTGATTCATCAGATAGAAAACATGTTTCCTTACTGACGACCTCAGCCTCATTTCATTCCATTGAGGTGGCGCTATTAATCAAGTAAATCATTGAAGTATAATGATCTATAATGATTTCCAAGAAAGTTTTTTCTGCAAGCTGGTTTCAATGCAGATTGTATCTTTCATAAGCATAGTTTTGACATGCAACGTCAATGATAGAGAGAGTTGTGTGATGTTAAAGATTTTTCCATGAGCATCGATTGTTGACTCAAACTATGTAAATTATTTTCGAGCTGTATCTATTCATTCAATAACAAACTGTTGTCCCCCTTGATATCTATAGAAAACCTATTTTCTTTCATCAACATTCACAGTAAAAAATTTTATTATTATTTTTCCTTGGTATTGCTTGAACTTTGGAATGTTTTTTATAGGTTACTGGGTACGTAAACAGAATTACAGGCTCAGATCCGAGACTGACGCAAAGATCTTTGTCTCTTTTAGAAAACATGGTCACAAATGGGTAGGTGTTTCCAGATTAAGACACGTTATTTATAACATCTATACATGTATTTGTATTTCAATACCTCGCTTAGGTTAACAACAAGCCCTCGATGTACAGCTTGCTCGGGAATCAAACTCTAATTGGGTTAGGCTAACCTCTCTTTCCCATGTTGAATCAGTAGGCAACAACAGCAAAACCCACAGCACCTTTTTCAACGTTTCAACTGTCGATTGGTTCAAACAGTGTGTGATTTAAAAATGACTAAGCCCTTTCGCAAGTTGATTACCTAAAGACTCGCTCTCAAGATATTGAAAAAACATTTGTTGAGTATTTCAAAGCACCGTTTTTTAAATATCAAATTGAATTTCTCATAAGATAACTGTGGATTCATCTTTGATTCTATAATTTGCAAGCAACTTAACTTAAAGGAATTGAGTCATGATAAAATGGATTGGGTATACCCAAAGTGCCAAAATCGGCAGAGTCACAATTTTCATGACTGCGATGATGATCCAGTTTTCTTTTTTCAATCTTGGATATTGTTCTTAATTTTGTGCATGAATTTCTATTGTTTTTAGCACCGAAATGCACTCCACTATTTCACAAGAAATAACGATAGAAAATCTGATACAACATCTACAAAGGTATGATTATTATTATGGTAACAATCCTTGAAAATAACGCACGCGGGAAATTTTTTATTTTTAGCTGACGATTGCTTGTTTAAATGTGTGTATGGAATCCTACGTACTATCGAAGCAGCGACTAAGAACTTCTGTTCTAAACACCAAGGCATGTACCGTTCTCCCTACACGGAAGCTCACATTCTGCAATAGACCCATTGGTTTTCTTTAATAGTCAGTTGCTAAGTCTGAAAATCGGAGACAGAACCGAAAGTCACCAAAATATGAACGGCTTTGTCTAACCGGCGTGAGCCACGTATTACCTCACTTTTTAACAGTAATTTTTATTAGCTTTAAACTTCTATGTTTAACGAGCCTTTGTAATGTTAATTTTTTCGGTTTTTTAGATATTCTTTCACTTAAACTCTCAGTGGCAATGTATTTAAATTGCATTTGTTTCAGCAACAATCAGAATATTCAGTTAGCAGCCATATCTTTATGCAACAGTTTGTTTATGAAGACGCATAGCGAAAGTAGAATGGTAGGTGCTCGTCTTCTTGAATTTTTGTTTACGTTTTGCATTGAGGAGACCCTAATGGCTTGTAATAAGAGCTTTTTTATCCTTTATTTCCTCTTCTTTAGGTTCATTACTAGAAAAATATTAATACTGTCATTTCAAAAAAGGATTTATTCAACAAATTTCGGTCTGCCTTTGTATTCTGTTTGTCTAAAGTTACAGTTTTACTTTCTTTCGGGGAAATGTTTTTTCTGTATTTTCGGCATGGCAATGTTTGTTTGAACATAACCTTTGAATTTTAGAGAGCAACAAATGATCTGTTAAAAGCAAGATTACTTCGCGAGGTTCTTATGAACGTAAGTTTACTGCCTAACCCACTTACCTCGTAGTTTTCTTTGTTTCTTTGTTCTTGTCATTGATATTTTCTTTGTTAACCAACGCAAAATTTGGAAATGCTGTGCATAAAAATTATGGTTAAGTAGTAAAGTATCCCTTTGTATCCTGCAGCTTTTGAGTTAATAATAAATTTTCACCATTTTTATAGAACTTTTTTTATAAAGTTTAATTATAAGTGCAACACTCACATTTTTTGAGATTTTATGCAATGCTGAAAAATTGTTTACACTATCCGAAAGCATTATATAAGGTTATGATGAATGCAATGATGATTTGATCGGAAATCACAAGATCGGTACAAATTACAAGGAATATAAGAATGACATGAACAATAATATTCTTATCTGGGTTTACTTTAAGTTAATGTCTATCAACCCACAGAGAGTGCTCCAGAGCAGTGACATCAAAAGCGAAATGGCTCACCAGCTATATGTGTATCAAGCCTTAGTTTTAAATCTCCACTCTCAAAGGATGGTGACTACTGCTGACCCCAACGATCAGGTAAAGGCTGTGCTAACTGCCTTTCACTCTTAACATTATTCTTCCTTTAAGGAGCCTTTAGTGGCATTTGACATCGAGGGAATGCCCCATTGTCTTATGCGAGTGCTCAAAAATTGAAGGCTACCAAGGAATTCTGGGGTGTTTTGTAAGACAGAAGGTCGATGATGCTCATGACAATATTAGAAGCCGGTGATTTGCAGATGTGTGGAATCCCCAACTTGGATCCCCTTCTTCTAAGTTGGAGCGAATACATTTTATTGCAGGGATTTAAGCTTTAAACCTCAGGGGATAGGTTGGGAAACCTCAACAAAGACTCCATCTAATTGTTGGCCCCAGTGCTTCATTCCTCCTCCTCAGCGACTTTCCTACCTTCTTGAATTCCACTTTGTTTGCTGGAGCCGCTAAATAAACTTCATTTATCATTTCATGTAATTTTCATGTAAAAACTAAAAGACAGTTATGTTGTACTATACTCGTTTCTATTTCTTCTTCGTGATATTTTATTTTTAAATTTTTCTTACCTGATATGTCAATTTTTTCTGCAGCAACAGAAAGATTCCTTGGCCATCCTTTATAATGCTGCATTCGATTCGGCTGGAAACAACAAGACTCACACAATGGGTAGCAAAGGTCACGATTACAAGCGTTTAGGCTTTGAGGTCAGTTCCCATTCGTTTGTCCAAAGGTCTGTCTATTTTAATTGTCTATCCTAAATGTAGGGAAATTCGCCCTAAAGAATTACTTTTGTTTTAACCAAGGCTGCCAATAGCCTACAATCCCTCTTTTCTATGTTTTAATATTTCACAAAGGACTCAATTTGTTTTCAAACAAGATAACGAATTTATTTGTGAGATTTTGAACTGACTAAACCTAGACTGATGTTGTACGGTGATCTTAATTTTTACACGGCTCCCTTGTTTTCGCCAGGGCCGTTGCCCTCTTGTCCCCTCCACCCCCCTCCCATTCAATGGTCCTGATTTGTAGCAAGGCGTAGCAGTGATTAATGAAAGTGAACGAGTAGAAGCATGGGTTTTATGCTTGCATTTGACAGGAAACGGCTTTCCTTTCCCCAGGTCTCACTATCAAGAATTTTAGTTTTGATTGTCTTGTTAAGCAACGAGTGATTGTAAACAATCTTTTTCTTGTTTTAGAATGTTGCAAACCCTTTAGAAGAATTCAATGAATGTCCGCCAGGAATCCTTCCTTTCGATTTGATGCTTTACTTCGCCAAAAAGCATCAGGATGTTTACATTAGGGTGAGTTGCTAAAGTATTGTCGTTAACATTTCGTCCCCATCAGAAACCGTCTTGACCTTGTGCCCGTAGCATTATCTGTTTTTCTGGCTCAGTTGAAACTGGTCTATCGCCGTGTGATACAGTACTTTTTACTTGGAGATTAATGTTTAAACACGCTCCTTAGGTTTTCCACGTACTTCCTTAGAAAATTTTTAACTTAATTGCGGTATCCGTGCTCTGTGACTGCCATTTTAAATTGTTTTTTTTTTACTTCCGCATTTTTGGATATACCCTTCTCAGCACCCCAGCGTAAAACGATTCTGATAAAGACGCCTCCCCCGAATCCTTGGTCAGTTTCACTCAGGCACACAACCGAACTTGAAATTTTCAACAGAACAGTTCCGATGACAAGTGCATTATCAAATTCACTAACAACGGCAAATTTTGAAAAGCAACCTTAAAGAGATATTTCTAGGTTGAAAAAGCAGCATTCATAATGAATTGAAGAAGGCAAAACATTCAGATTTTGTGAAAAACTTAATGGCCAGGGAGAAGAACTATCTTCCTCGATCGTTTTAAGTTCTTATTCGCAGTAAAGAACAGGTATTTCATATTCAAGTTTTACCAGAGCAAAGTTATTGGCTTCATTGATTTATTGAGCAAGAACAGCTCGATTGGTATTTCAGAAACCAATGTCTCTGGGAACATCTTTTTGATTTCTGTATATGTTGATAAACCACTTTGAATTTTTTTGTAGTTTTTTTTGTAGTCACACGATAAATCTTTTTTATAACAGGTTATTTTGGAAACTTTCGGGCGCGAGGAAGAATATGGCTGCCCGTTTGCCAGATGCACAAAAACATTAACCAAGATGCTTTGCGAATTGTTAGAAATCGGCAAAACACGTAAGAGTCTTATATGGCGTTAAATTGTTTTTTAATTTTGTTAAAAGGCTTTTGCATTGTGATGGTCATGCATGCTTCATGCTTAATTGTGAATATGCTATTTGGTGTATAGAACAGGACGGTTCTAAGCTGCTACTTCAAGTTTCATTGCAAAGGACGATTCTAAGTTGCTACTTCGAGTTTCATAGCACAGGACGGTTCTAAGTTGCTAATTCGAGTTTCATAGCACAGGACGGTTCTAAGTTGCTAATTCGAGTTTCATAGCACAGGACGGTTCTAAGTTGCTAATTCGAGTTTCACAGCACAGGACGGTTCTAAGTTGCTAATTCGAGTTTCATAGCACAGGACGGTTCTAAGTTGCTAATTCGAGTTTCATAGCACAGGACGGTTCTAAGTTGCTAATTCAAGTTTCTTTGCACAGGACGGTTCTAAGTTGCTAATTCGAGTTTCATAGCACAGGACGGTTCTAAGTTGCTAATTCGAGTTTCATAGCACAGGACGGTTCTAAGTTGCTAATTCGAGTTTCATAGCACAGGACGGTTCTAAGTTGCTAATTCGAGTTTCATAGCACAGGACGGTTCTAAGTTGCTAATTCGAGTTTCATAGCACAGGACGGTTCTAAGTTGCTAATTCGAGTTTCATAGCACAGGACGGTTCTAAGTTGCTAATTCGAGTTTCATAGCACAGGACGGTTCTAAGTTGCTAATTCGAGTTTCATAGCACAGGACGGTTCTAAGTTGCTAATTCGAGTTTCATAGCACTGGACTGTTCTAAGTTGCTAATTCGAGTTTCATAGCACAGGACGGTTCTAAGTTGCTAATTCGAGTTTCATAGCACAGGACGGTTCTAAGTTGCTAAATCGAGTTTCATAGCACTGGACTGTTCTAAGTTGCTAATTCGAGTTTCATAGCACAGGACGGTTCTAAGTTGCTAATTCGAGTTTC